AAAAAGGAAAGAAGGAAAGAAGGAAGAAGAAGAAAGAAGGAAAGAAGAAAAGAAGAAAAGAAGAAAAGAAAGAAAAGAAAAAACGAAAAAATGAAAAAAGGCCATATTGGTAATATATCCCGGTCTGAGGTCGACTTACTCTACTACATTAGCGGCACCCTTTCTCTCTCTCTCTCTTTTTATAAAGAGGAGTTGACAGTCCAGCTCCAGCATTTCCATTGGATATCTAGTATCTGCACATCTCAACTTTAAGTAAACACTCACTAGTCTTGCTGTTCTACAAGTCTTGACATTCAGATAATATAGCAAATATAGGCGCAGCAAATCCGGGTATCAAGCGTAACATCCAGCAACTCCCCCCCCCACCCCCCCGAAACCTAGCAAGTCTCAAAGCTAAAACGCGCCCTCTTCGTTATTCTGGGGCTCTCTCAGCCGGTGCCTGGCCCGTAGCCTGTATCTGGTTGCCAGAGTATGCTTCGCTCTCACTCTGCACCGGGCCCTTCAACCTTGCCTGGCGCTCAACACCCGCCCTATACGACTCCACCAAGTCCACGAACCTCGAGAAATCACATTCCTCCTCCAGAAACGTCGCCCAGGTTCGCTTCCCCCCCTTGTCCTGCTTTTCGTCTTTGCTGATACCCGTCTTCTTCACGCCCTCGAGTACGGATCTCTCCATGAATCCCATGAGGGTATCCACATCGCAATCTTCGTCTCGCAAGTATCTCATAAGTGCCTTTTCGGGGAGCTGGGCAAGGCTGCGACCACTGATCTCGGTATCTAGGCCTGGGAAATGGGCAATCAGCAGAGGCATCGTCATTCGAGATGATGAGAACCCTACTCTCGTTGGTACTCCGGATCAGCTTGACGAGGTCAAGAAGCTTCGGGCCCTAGGAAAATGGTCAACGGGCTATTCCAAATTTTCACGGAAAAGCTAGTACAGAGCCAATGTGTGGAGAAATGAGCTGCTCACCGAGTTCCCAAGATTGGCAACTGCTTGATACTCGGCATCGTCGTACGAAGGTATCTCCTCGGTCGACTTCACAACATTGGAGCTGATGAGATTTTGCAGGATACTCCTCAAAATCTCGTATTGTGCGGCAACGCTCGGCGGCCCAACATACTCTTTCAAGCCGCACCTGTCGAGAAAGGCCGGCTCCAGGACGTCGCACATGTTGGAAGTAAACAGGAAGACAACGTTCGGAAAGCTCATGGACCGGTCGAGGCCCGTAAGCAGCGCATTCGTCGCCCTGAGCGAATCATGGCTTTCACCCTCCTTCGTGCTGAACTCGCGCGAACTCGCTATACTCTCGACTTCGTCGATGAGCACGCATATAAAGTTCTCGGGGCCCTCCTGACACATGTGAGATATCTTGGTAAATATCTCATCAACGTGCCGGGCACTCTCGCTGAAGTACTTGGAAAGTAGGGTTGCCGTCTTGATTTGGATAAGGGTCGTTGATTCGTATTGCTCGCTCAGCCGAATGGATATTTTCTGCGCGAGGCCTTGGCAGAGGCTTGTCTTCCCAGTTCCGGGTGGTCCGTAGAGGAGAATGAGAGGATTCAGCTTGCGGCGGAAGTTGGAAGCTTTAAGAGCCTGTGAGAATCGCACTGATTTCATTTAAGTTAGCATTTTCAATGTTGTCTGGTTTTCTGGTAGCGTACGGATGTTTGTCATCATCCAGATGAGGTCTGCCTTGATGTCGTGGTCGAATACAAGCCTGGATACAGATCAGGCTGTGTTTTCCGCTGCGTTACAAAGCGATCATATTCTCGGTGTGACCTAAGGATGGTTCTTACTCGTCCCAAACAGCCTCAAATCGAGTATGCGGCATGGATATCAATTCGCCCAGTTGCTCGTCCCCCTCATCTGACTCTTCGAGAGGGGACGAAGCCGTCCAGAGTTCAAAGACCTGGACCCTCAGCTTCACCTCGAGTGATGAGAAACAGGTCTCTTCCGTCGCTGGTCCAATGCGCTCAACCACCTTCAAAGAGTCTAAGATTTGCTTTGCGCGAGGGTACTCAGATCCGAGCTTCAAATTGCCGTCTACAGATGGGCGCATTAGAATGTCGAGTTTCAGCTTGGGTTGGTCCAACAGGAACCTACTTCTTTCATCCGCAAGAATATCTTCCAGCATGTCAAACGTATTCACAGCGGACAGCAGTTGCGCTTCAAGCACTCTTGCGTACTTCAAAGTCGTCAGCTTGGCTGTCAACGAGGCCTTCGTCTGGTATTCTTCTCAACTTACTAGGCCGCAGTCCAGCGACGATTGACTCAGTGTCCCATCCCTCAGGCGGCCTTCGAGATATAGAGTTCCCAGGCGCCTCGTCTTGACCGGAGCAGCGACGAGTATAGACTCGTTCTGTCTATCTGACATGGTGATGGTGGGTAGGTATTGGTAAGTGGTTCGGCAGACTTGGGTTTTGGTTGTGTTGAAAGTCGATGGATTTCATCCGCTCCCGTGACCGTGCCAAGGCCAACTAACCTCCGTGCCTTCCAGTCCTGACGGTGCGTCAAGAAGGTGCAGGTGGACGAGACGGTTCGAGAGGCCCAACTCGCTCCACTTCAGACTAACGGAGCTGAGAATATGGAAGATCAGTGTCTCCATGATTGATTCCATATCCCTACGAAGTATGAGGGAGATGATTAACACGTGAGACAGTCCAGGTCTCCTCCATCTGCATCTCCATCTCCATCTCCATCTCCAAACCCAAAATCTCTCACGTGCCCTCAAGCGAAGGGGACGGGCCGGTACCAAGAGCCAAAACCCCAGACCCCAAGATCTGTACAGATAAGCATCGCAACCCAACCCCTGCCCCATCATCGACGTCATCCCACCAAGATAAACAAACTCATCTCCACCGCCAGAAAGTCTTCTGTTCAAGCCGACCTCCGCTCCCGAGCTGAACAAGCATTCCGTTGCTGCTTACAGTCTCTGCCCCGAGCAGACGGGCGATCTGACTCGACAGAATGTATTCTCGTGCAGTCAGTCCGGATCATGGCCCAGCCTGCACAACGATGATATGATGTATGTGGAGATGGAGCGCATGGGCTGGGTGAGAGGGAGGGGAAGAAGGAAAGGTAAAAAGAGCGTTGCCTTCCTTGCCTTGCCTTGCCTTGCCTTGCGTTGCCTCCTCTCGACTCGACTTCAACGACTATCAATAACACAAGTCCTTGGATCTATCTTTCTCCAATCTACCCGTCAACAGAGCATTACCATTTACTACTATATATATATGTACATATATATATATATATATACACATGTATACATATTCCGCGAGATGCACAGCTTCTCCCTTCGTCCCCCGCCTCGCGCTGCTCCTCTCAACACTCCCCGTCTTCGCAGCGTCCCAAGCCGCAAGTCCGTCCTTTACAGACGCGGCAACCTTTCAGAACGACACGATAGCCGCACATAATTTTTACAGAGAGCAGCACGGCGTCGGGGATCTCCAGTGGAACGATACCTCTGCTTCTTTCGCTGCCGAATGGGCTGCGGCGTGCAATTTTGAACACAGTGTACGTTTTTTTTTTTGTTTTTTTTTGTTTTTTTTTTTGCGAATTCGCGCCGGCGCGAAGACATGGGCTGACCACCGATCACCAGGGCGGACCAACCGGCGAGAACCTCGCAGCCGGCTACGCGAACGCCAGCGCCAGCATCGACGCGTGGGGTCTCGAGCGGCAAGAATACGACTTCGGGGACCCGACTGGCTTCAGCGACGAGACAGGGCACTTCACCCAGCTCGTCTGGGGCAACACCACCACGGTAGGCTGCGGGGTGGCGAGTTGCCAGGGCCGGAACGGCACGCCTGGCTTCTACGTCGTCTGCGAGTACTACCCCCCCGGCAACGTGATGGGCAACGAAAATCAGTTCTTCCAGGAAAATGTCCTGGAGCAGACCATGGGCGAGGAGACGGATACCGTCGAATCGGGTACCACGAGCTCTGGGCATGGGCACAAGCATACGAGGAATCTCGTAGGGGCGGTGGTCATTGCCGCAATGGTCGGATTCGTGATCGCGGTATAAACAAGAATCCATGGGAAGCGGTCCTGATCTACGATAGAGAAAACCGGTTACGAGATGTAGCGTTGGATCAAGGGAGGGAAGAGATCTATCTGTTCTCCTGGAGTATCGATACCCCTGTATGCAAAGGCAATTTTCTGCCTCGTTATGAATTTGATGACTTATGATCTATCTGTACGGAGTTTTCGAGCCTGATACAACCACCGCGGTTTGCCCCCTGTGCTTTTCGAGCTACAGCTACACGCACGACCGCGGTGGCGTCTTTCCTTTCCTTACGGTCAGGTCAGTAGTAACTTGTTTACCATCTTCATCTGTTTGCAGATTCTTCTGAGTGAGAGAGAAGATGGGCGAAAGTGCTGCGGGTCTCCTCACGTGAATAATGCGCCTTTCTTTCCTTTCCTTTCCTTTCCTTTCTTTCTTTCCACTACTCACTCGCTTCGCTTCTCGGAAAAGCCACAGTGAAGACAACGACGAGATCGACGTGGAAAGAGACCGTGATATGACGAGGACGAGGACGAGGACGAGGACGAAGAGTGTTCCGGCGTCCTGAGAAATACCGATATTAAATTCTGCATGTTGCCAGTCAACGACTGGAAAACGAGAATTACACCCCGGAAGTCACTGGGATCCCAGAAGGTTCAGATGGTGACCGTGACATTTTGTCTGTCGGGAAGGTGCAACATGGCCAATACTTTTGAACTTCAAGCTTTAAACTATCTGGGCTACCAACTGCAATTCTTTGCGTATCGCCCGACTTATTCACTACTGCTGCTTTCTATTTCCACCGCGTCCTCGCCATGCTCGATCCCAGCCGCCTCCTCCTCCTCCTCCTCCTCATCCTCCTCCTCCCCACCCGCGACCACCGAAGACTCATTATCGCTGCTGGCAATATCTTTGTCAATTGCATCCATGCGGCGTATGAACTCATCCTGTAGTCTGACTACCCAGCTTAGCAACGCTTTGTCGTCCAAGAGCGAATTCGCTGCATGCTTCAAGCTCTCTCTTAAAGCGTGAACTAACTTCCTTCTCTTGAAGAGTGCTTGTGCTTTCGATGACTGTTTCTTGGCCTGTGCTTGAGCTTCTAGCGCTCTCGACACTCTCTCCGCGACCTCGATTACCTGTTGCGGCAGATCGACGACACGGGCGAGAGCGATACCATAATGCTGTTCCTGGACATATCCATCTCTGACCTTGTAAAGCATTGTCATGGTGCTCTCTTGACTCAAATCCACTTCAAGATGCATATTGACTACCCCCAGTCTTTGTTGCATAATCTGGGCTGTCGGAAGTCAGAAAAGTTTTTGTACCGGAGGAAGTGGGCAGACCAAGCTCTCGGAAGTGAGTTGCAAAGAATACCAAGGCCTTGCTTTGAACAAGAGCTTCAGCAATACTCAACGAGATAGCCAGCCCATCACGACTGCTAGTGCCTCGGCCAAGCTCATCAATGATCGCGAGGCTGTTTTTATCAATGTTTCTGTATTCTGTCAATACAGCAACGACACTCAGTTCGCGAGATTACCTCAAGATGAAAGCAGTCTCTCTCATTTCAGACGCAAAGGTTGACACATTTGCTTCGATAGAATCATCCATAGAGACTCGAGCGAAGAGCTGATGAATGAGTGGGAACACAGCATGAGCTGCTGGCACAAAGCTCCCAACCTGGGCCATTACACAAATCAAAGCAACGGATCGAATATAGGTGCTCTTCCCACTCATGTTACAGCCAGTAATGATCTGGAAGCGTTTCTGCTCACTCGCATAAATATCGTTGGCAATGAACTTGTCCTTGTGAATCTGTGGAAGGAGTCAGTATAGGTCAGAGTCTGAATCTGCGCTGGGGAATACCACTTACTCTCTCCTTGATGGGATGTCGTCCTGATCCGACAGCAATAGCATCCGCGATCTGGGGTCTCGTGTACTCAGCCAGAGGATCTGCGGTGGTAGCGAGATGTGCGAAAGCGGTAATCATATCGAGAACGGCGATACTTTCGCAAACTCTGAAAAGAGTCGGGATGTCTCCTCGGATGTTATCAATCAGTTCCTGAACAGTCTGATCACTCATCAAAACAACTTCTTGATGTGAGCCCTCAATTCTTTGATTCAGCTTGACGAGATCCAAGGTCTGACATTCAATGCAGCCCTTCTTCTGGAATCTGTTAATGAGAATATCGGGTATATCCCGTCCTTCGAAGTCGTGTTCAAACAACTTCAGGTAATACCGGCGAGCGTTATCATATTTGGTCTCTGCGACCATCTCATACCGTTCTGTCACGAGTCAATGATGCACGGGACCGACGAGGCTGCATTGAGGCCACCCACGGTTGATATCCGTGACATGCTGATGTACATCTTCTGTAGTCTCCTTGAAAGTCTGGCGTGCCACATCGAGGAGACCACTAACTCCGGACTATCACGCAATCAGTGCTTGCGGATGACTTGAAAACGCAAAACATACTTTCACGGCATATGTTCTCTGATTTCGCAAGTCTAAGGGCGTCTTCTGGTAAGTCACATCCTCATTGATAACCTCCTTGATAAGGTCCATCGTTGGGGCAAGATACTCGGGCTTGCAATTTTCCCGAATCATTACCAGAAGATCTGAGTTGGCACCTGCGAGCGATTCGTAGACTGGGAGGACGGATTGAATAAAACTCTTGAGCATTAATACCTGGTTGATCGATTGTTCTGCATACATAATGTCAGGCTGGGTAGGCATAATGATCAACTACAAGAGAGACATGTCAGCGAATAAGAGGGGATCCTCATAGGGAAGAGGGAAGTTTTCATACACTACTGAGCAATTTCTCGATGTCCATGACAGATTTCAAAGCTGATGTGAGAAATTTAGCCAGACACATTAACAGGGCTCGACTTGCTGACCCTGTCGCAGCTGGAAGAACGTGTCCTCCTTCGTAGACAACTCTTCGACGGCGTCATAGCGTTGCTCAAGGACGCTAACTTGCGTTGATGGTTGTAGGATGGTACTTCTAAGAAGACGTGCCCCCATCGGAGTCAAGGTCTGGTTCATTACACCGTAAAGGCAAGCTCGGGACTTGGCGTTCTGCAGATTTTGGATGAGCTCCAAGGACCGGATTGTAGAGAGATCAATCATCATAGAACCTTCGGATGGTTGGTACTTGATGCGGAGCGAGTGGTAGGCAAAAGTCAGAGACATGCTGAGGTCTATGTATCTAAGAACCTGTAAAGGGATCGAATCAGGTTAAGAGGTCCTCACAGAGAATGATACAGCCTACCGCGGCAAAGCAACAGGTTGCAAAGTAATTGCCTCCAATAGCAACCTTGATTGATTCAACGTCTTCGGAGAAGGCTAGATGCTGGATATATTCAAGCCCCGCCGATTCTGACCAGTACTTGCGATCAATAGTGACTATTTTGGCGCCGAAAATGTTCTCCTCGACAATAGAGTACATCTTCGACTTGGGATTTGGAGGACCGCTCGAAGAAACAATGAGGATTTCGGTTGGGTCAAAGACATGAAGCTTGTTGATGGTCCTCGCGTAGAATTGATTGTCACATATTTGACTGAGAACCGCCTCCCCAGTAGATATATTCACGAATGCGAGTCCAACGGTGGGAGAGATACCACGAGCGTCACTTAGAGCACAGATGATGTGCTGAGATTCGCCGCCACCGATGGTAGACCCTCCTCGAGATCTTGATCGACGGCCGGTACTTGGACGAGCTGTTCCTGGCCGACTCTGGTAGGCAGAGTTGGGACGACCAGTGCTCGGACGAGTTCCGTAGGGAGTCTGAGATGTTCCAAATGGTGTCTGTGATGTTGACGTGGTTCCTGCATTCCGGTAAGAGGTAGAAGCATAGCTTTGAGAGGTAGAGGATCTCGGAGGAGGCATTTTCTGTTGTAGATGAGCAGTCAACTGAGATGTTAGTTTGGTATATCAATTGTGGTAATCAGTGAGGTCCCAATGGACACATGAGTTTTGTGTCTTTACTCCTAGATACTGAGTATGGTTGGTGTCGTTGACGGCTGTTGGTTGGCGGGTCACGGATAATGGAAGCTTGGAAGTCGATTTAAGGTTAAGGGCATGAGAGCTGCGCATGCACCACAAAGCCAAGCCACAAGGCTGATGCTCCACTTAAAATATTTTCGAGTAGAGTTCTTCGCGCCTTGCATCACCCCGCGGACATTTTGAAGATTTCTGTGGAACTTCCTGCAGAAGGAAACAACCACAAAATCGGACTACAAAGCGAATAAGATTTCTAGGTCCTGTCCAGATCAGACTGAACATTCAAAATGGCGACAGTCCTACCCCCACCAAGCAAAAGACAACGAACAGATGCCGCAGAGAGAGCAAGAGAGCAACAGGACATCGAGGTGATTCCCAGTGATGCTGGCAGTCTTCGGATACAGTTCTTTGACGAGACGACTGGTCTTCCTATAGGCCAAGGCCCTGTGCTTGTGCCAGTTGCGGATGCGACCCCTAAGAACCTCGAGCTTCTCCTGAATGCGCTATTGAACCATGTGAGTGCGAAAGGAGAACACTGTCACGAATCACATCACTGATCTTACCAAGGATTCCTCTGAGACCGTGCCGTACCGATTCACCCTTCCTGTACCAGACAAAAAGACTCTCGAGCCGATCACAACTGCATACCCAACGAATGTCTGGAAGACCTTGATCAGACCCGGTCTGATCAGCACGGAACAGGTTCAGAACATATCAGCAGCACCCCAAGCAGTATTCAGAGTACAAGCAGTCTCGAGGTGTGCTTCAACGATACCAGGCCATGGTGAAGCGATCCTCGCCACCCAGTTCTCTCCCAAATCTTCGTCGAGAATGGTCAGCGGAAGTGGAGATAACACAGCGAGGGTATGGGACTGTGATACAGGAACACCCGTGCACACTCTGAAAGGACATACCAGCTGGGTTCTGGCAGTAAGCTGGTCTCCAGACGACTCGAGGATAGTAACGGGAAGTATGGATAATACCGTACGGATGTGGGATCCCAAGTCAGGAAAGCAAGTTGGAAATCCCATGAAGGGCCACTCCAAATGGGTGACGAGTCTTGCGTGGGAACCCTACCATTCTCAAAAGCCCGGAGAACCTCGGTTAGCATCAGCGTCTAAGGACTCTACTGTCAGAGTATGGTCGACAAATCAACAGACGATCGAACTTGTACTGAGTGGGCACAAGGGCTCGGTCTCTTGCGTCAAATGGGGAGGAACCGGTTTCATATACACAGGATCCCACGACAAGACAGTGAAGGTGTGGAATGCAAAGGATGGAACCTTGGCCCACACGCTCAGCGCACACGCACATTGGGTCAATCACCTCGCACTCTCAACCGACTTCGTCATCCGAACAGGATTTCACGAACACAAAGGTAAGATACCCGTCACAGAGGAAGAAAAGGTCGCCAAAGCCCGAGAGAGATTCCTCAAAGCATCTACCATCCAAGGCGAGGTCGTCGAAAGACTCGTCTCCGCCAGCGACGACTTCACCATGTACCTCTGGGACCCAGCCAAGGGAACCAAACCTGTAGCCCGCATGCTGGGCCACCAGAAGCAAGTCAACCACGTCACCTTCTCCCCCGACGGCTTGCTGATAGCCTCCTCCGGCTTCGACAACCACACCAAGCTCTGGAATGCCCGCGACGGCAAATTCATCAACACCCTGCGCGGTCACGTCGCACCCGTCTACCAGTGCGCATTCAGCCCGGACTCGCGACTGCTCGTCACGGCAAGTAAAGATACGACCCTCAAGGTCTGGGATCTTCGAACCCAGAAACTCTCGGCTGGTGAGTTTTGAGTCCTCTCTCTCTCATCTCTCTCATCTCTCTCATCTCTCTCCCTCTCCCTCTCTCTTCTTCAGCTCTCCCTCATCCCCACCCTAAAATACCAACTTAGTACTTTCTCTCTAACCAAAACCCTCCTGCTTCCCCTACCTAGATCTTCCGGGACATCAAGATGAGGTGTACGCCGTAGACTGGAGCCCTGATGGCCAGAAGGTGGCGAGTGGAGGAAAGGATAAAGCTGTGCGGGTTTGGAGACATTGAATGGAATCCCTACTCTCTCCGTGATGAGAATCGCGGAGAGAGAGAAAAATGTGATAGGTAGGTAAACTTGATGGGGGAAAAAAATGCAGGGCAGAGTTATCTTTACCAAGATAAGAAAAAAAAAGAACCGAGCCCGCAATTTACGCTTCGAAGATGCGACAATAGACTAAAGACGAGAGAAGAAAGAAGAAAGAAGAGCCACAGCGCTTTTAAAGGATTCTATTGCTAGCCAGCTCGTCCGTCCGTCCAAACGTCCGTCCAGCCTTTATTTCATCGCATCGCATCCCATACCATCCCATTCCATCCCTCTGTAGTATTATTCCAGCTCAACGCACCTTCCACACCCTCCACCCATACCCCACAACCCCTTCGGATCCCACACCCAATCCCATCCTATTAACCCAGCCTCCCCTTCCACTCAGCCCCGCCGGCCAGCAAAACACAAGCCCATGGCGCTGATATCATGCCCCAATTCCATCCTCCCCGCTTTCACACCCCTCCCTCCCCCAATTCCCCCAGCAATCCCTCCACAGACCGTCAAGTCATGAAAAGGAAACACAATCATAACATTGCGTCGCATTGCAAGGCGACCATCGCTCGCTGAATTAAAAGCCAACCCAAAGCCAACCCAGCCAGCCAGTCAGCTTGCCAAATTCTATGTGCACTACTTGCTCGCTTGTTTGTATCCGTGAAAAGAATAGAAAAAATAAGAGGAAAAGAGAGGGGGAGAGAGAAAAGGAAGTTATTGTAGCAAAAGCCAGCGCCAGAGTAGCCACCCGAGATTTATTCCTCCGTGTCGTATCCAGTCCAGTCCAGTACAGTCGTCATAAATATTGTCGCGTTGCTCGCACTATGCACGATTCCTCCTAGTCTTCTATTCCTCCGAGGATCATTCCTCCATCGAGAAAAGCAAAACCAAGCACCAAGCCGAGCAAAACACTCAACGTTGCAACGAGAGGTCGATGCGCGATCTCGCCAAATCAATTGCCCTTTCTTGGTGAGCACAATCTTCTACCCACCGCGTCCTCTCAAGCGAGATCAAGGAGAAGCCGAAGCCAAAGCTGCTTTGCTGTCATCCGGATACCCCATGTCGAGCGGAAACTGGCCCGAGCGCTGAGCAATGATCTCACGAGCGTAGAATTCAACCAACATAGTGCCATAGGCTTCTAATTCCTCTACGGGCACAGAAAGGCGAAAGTCGTTGAGGAGCAGGAATTGGAGTTCGAGGTGGTTGAGTTCAGGTAGGGGAAGTCCACCAACCTGGATTAGTTAGCATGTGATCCAGCCGAGATATGCCATGAAACGCACCTTTGCATATCTAGAGTTTGTGTAAAATACATCAGAGAAGAACTTGCTCGCGCAGGTAACTCCCGCGATGACCAAGCGGTGGATATTGAAGCTGTCAACGACAAAGAAATGGGAAAGGGGGAATGTGCCAGGACTTTGTTCACGGGGTGGTGCATGCGGATACTGTGCCCTCTCTAGCTCCGCCGACAGCTCAGGCACACTCCTAGAGGTTTTTGCTGGGGGGCTGTCTGCTAAGTCTGATCCTTCTGCGGAACATCCTGAAGATGGTGGGGAGCTCCCCTGGTCAACAGTATTCTTGTTCAGAGCTTGAATTGTGCCTGCATTGACCCGTTCCGTCATCCTGTCGAAATAAACCAGCAAACTCAGGAATACTTCGTAGGTTGTTGGGCAGTACTTGTGTATGCGGCTCAGATAGCTCAGAATCGTAATACTCGGTACATTCTTTCCGTGGAAAGCCAGGACACTAGAAGATTGCCCGCTGAAGTTGGCTGCCTCACCCGAAGGAAGAGGTCGGTGGAGGCTCTCATGCTGCCGGTCATTTGTAGTTGTAATCTTGGTCAGAAGCCCTGCTACCATCTCGATTATATCTGAAATGGGCATCCCACTGATATCGTACTTCAACGCTGGATCATCTGCTGTGCGCAAACGCCCTGATTGGCCTTTGTATGAAAGGAACTCTTCCGTAGCGAATCTTTGGATGTGTGCCAGGTCCCGGACCTTGATGGTGTTTCCTCCATACCTCTTTACATCATCCAGCGACCTAGCCGATCTCTGGATTGGCGAGGCTTGTAATGGCGATGTCTCCTCCTTCTTCGGACGCGACTCGGTTGAGGATTCAAGGACTGGTGCTGGCGATTCCGGAAATTCCTTCTGGCTTAAGATCCGTTGCTTGGTCGCGGGAGTTACTGGACTAGAGCTCGCTGGAGGTGTGTGAGGCTCTGTCTTCGCGCTTCCTGATCGACTGACCGCATCACTAGCCACAATTGGGAGAGTTCGAGCGGAGGAGGTAGAAGGAGGAGTTCCCGGTGCTGAGGCGGTGGGTTGGTTGCGCGGAGACAGGGGAGGCTCGACTGCCGATCGAGGGCGTTGACGGTATGGGGATTCAGCTGGAGTTCGCTGCTGACCAGAGCCAGCTACCATCGTATGACTGCTGTGGAAGCGCGACGAGTTGGACACGAAATCGCTCACCACCTCGGCCATATCAGCCTACGATGCGTATGGACGGAGGGAGGTGCTAGTGAGAAAGAATATTGGTTAGCCGTGTGATACCAGTGATGTATGAAGATGCTTTGTGATGTTTGGCGTGAGCCAACGCGTCTGACAGTTAGGCAAGAGCAGGAAAATTGACCACGGGCGCGCGCGATCGAGACCAAATTCGAAGGTGAGATAACCCGACTCCCAGCGCAGCTGTTTGTGATGTAAGGACAAGCGGTGGTCACCTCGAGGCTCCGCGCAGCACTGGAATTACGGCAGACAACAGGACAGGTTCACTTGATAGCAGTTGTAATGGCATTCCCTAGCCAGGCTCCCGATATTCTTTGTTTGTAGGCCTTGTGGAAGGTGAAGGTCGGCGTCGCATGAATGAATTGCTTTTTCCTGCCGTGGGGGGACTGGCGAGGCTTATCGGGAGGCAGAGCGAAGCAGAGACGGGAGGGAGGCTTACCTGCACAGCATTCCTGTTTGTCGGGCAGAGCAAAGAAGAGAGGGGATCCAGGTATTGTAAGGCTGGTGTAAACACGCCGATCTCGACTCTGCGGGCAGCGGGCAGGCGTCGATAGGAGTGTTCTGTGGTTTTGGTGTTGTTGAATCTGAATAGGAAAATGATAGAATTGAGGTGAGGCGGAGTTTGGAGTGGAGTGGGAGTACGGTAGAGTGGAGTGATCGTTGTGAATGTGGGACTAGCGGGCTTTCGGTCAGGTCAGTGCCTCACCGGCCATGCCATGCCATGCCATGCCATGGCCAGGGTCCAGTCAGTCCAGCCAGTCCAGTCCAGTCCAGTCCGTCCAGTCCGTCCAGGCAGTCCAGTCAGTCCAGTCAGTCCAGTCAGTCCAGTCAGTCCAATTGCTGATCCAAGACTTAGGTAAGGTACTTATGACGAACACCCCCACGCCTGGTGTCGGTGTCGGTGTCGGTGTCGAATGGGATCCCACCCGTTACGATCTCGTTTACGACTTGATATGCAACACTTCCGTAACAGCCATGACTTTTGCCCGGTGCCTACCTATTGGTCCCTATCTTCATATCCAGGTTTCTGGCAAAAGTCACCGCTCTCATACTGCTGCTACTACATTTTGATGATTACGTAAGACAACATGCATAGGGACGCAGATGCGGACGCAGCCGCATACGCAGGCAGATGCTCGAGTCTAGCCCTATGTCTCTCCCTTCCGCTAACTACCCTCCCGGAGTCTTGACACGAGAGCTGGCCGAATATTCCCCGTCAGATCATCCGTCTGGGAGTCTTTGTGGGAGGGAGAATCATTATCAGCGTCGTAATCCTTTCGCACGTATATATAAAGGCTTCTGTCTCCCTCTGGAACCCAGTCAGGTTCGGACAGAGGTTTCCTGATAACCAAGGCTTCCCACTTCTACGCTCCAGGCACTTGCAAATCACACTGCCCACACTATCTCAAGATCTTTCATTCAGACAGTTGCCAAGCTTCTCTGCTCGGCTCACCGCTCTGCTACATTGACCGCTATTGCATCCTACCCAGGGCTTGAGTGCGCCAGATCCCTTGCCCCAACCCCGGTCTATATTACAATTCCCCCCTATGGCCTACTGCACAAGGACCTATTGGTGACGAACAGCATAGTCTGTATCTGGCAGGTACAGATGTCGGTTTGCGCCCTTCGCCGTCAATACCACCATCCGGATAACTCCGCCGGAGCTGCCATCCCACTTGATAGCCTCTTGCAACGCGCCCTTGACAAACTCCACAGCAGCCGCCTCGTCCATCCCCTCCTTCCAGTTGGCGTCGCAGTATCCGTAGATGTAGGTGGAGCCTGAGCCGCCGATGGCATACGATTGCTTGTGTAACGAGCCTCCCAAGGGTATCGAGTAGACCTGGCCCCCGTGTCGCTCATCCCAGCCGGCAATAATCAGCCCAGCGCTATCTTCATTAGCTATTGCGTTCCCTTCCCCAATGTCGAGCGAGCCCTCACCTCAATCTATCCTTGTTCTCGTAGCACAGCTCCTGGAACATCGCCGCCGCCGTTTGTGTAGTGGGTTCTCTGCCGTTCTGGATACCGTACATTCCCAGCTGGTAGTGAACAATATCTGCCACAGCTTGCGTGTCCGCAGCAGACCCCGAGCGGCAGCACCAGATGGTATCGTGGACTTGTGTAAGCTTGTCGGTGACCCGGTTTGCGATGTATGATCCGGTCGTGGTTCTACTGTCCGCGCCTGAGCACCCATCAGCATCCATCTCATGCCCATGCAGCTGTCGCAGAGCAACGAACCCAGAATAACACCGTCTTTGAAGTTGATTGCCATGCTAATTCGAATTAATATGAAGGCCGTATTTGGTGACTTGAAATCAAGCTTACATCGAAGTTCCTAGGCTTCAGCGTGTTAGTAGTATCCAGGTAGAGAAGGTTGATCTTCTTACTTGACCTCTCCCTTCTTCAACCGGTCCATATCAACGTGGATGCCATCTAGGGGAGCTCTGATTAGCTGTTGTGCACCCAGCTGCTGTTCCCTGAACTCCAAGTACCTTCGTTCAGATTTCCTGAGTTGCCGAACTCCATCTTGAATGCTGGGAGATTTGCGAAAGAGATTGGGAGGTTTCGTAAGGCGTTGATTCAGTATACGTTGTTGACAAGGAATTCGTCGTTGAAGCTCAAGCTCGAGCTCGCTCAGGCAGCCTAGACGCGAGGCAAGCGCGAGGCGGGTATATGGTTCACGTGACATGGGATTCGGGCTCTCTTGGCCACGTCTCCCCCGTATTTTGTGTGTGTGTGTGTGACAGATCAAGCTAGATCGAGCGCAAGAGAAGTAACCGTAGCTGAATACAGATGTTTATCCATTGACAACATGCAACAGCTAGTGTTGCTATGTAACGGCACTCCCACGGAAGGTCAATTAAATTCCCAACCCCAAACTCCTTGCTATGAAAGTGCCATTACTCTCCATGATACTCATACATTCCCGCCCTCAACCTCCTCTCGTCAACCCTTCTTTCTCCAACTGCAACTTTGTGAAGCCGCCCTTTCCCTTCGTGTCCGGCTTCTCCTCTGCACAACCACAGTCATAGAAATCTCCAATGTTCGAGCAATCAAATAGCTCCTTTTTCAGCCTTTTATTGACCTCGTTATGCACATGGCACGCCCACGCTGCAGCCGTCGACCGCGTAGCCACCTGAGGCGGAAACTTCTTCAGGATCTTCTGGAAGTGCCTGGCGCAATCACCGCAGGGATATAGACGAGCAAAGAGATGGATGTAGGATTTGAGGGCTGCGCTGTCCTCTTCGGTGGGCTCATCCGGGAACTTGGCCATCATCGTATGGAGAACTTTCCAGGCGGCGTGGCCGAGTTCTGCTCTGCGGATTTCTGTTAGTGACGCCTGTGACTCTGGCAGAAGGGGACACACTTCAAGGTGGCATTCTCGATCTTCGCGGCCTTTGCTTCTCCGTGGAGCATCCCTTCTGAAACGTGTGGGTTTAGAAATTCTTTTTGGGAGGCTGAGTAGTCTGAATCCTCTCCGGTAATTCGCTTCGAGAACGAGATGAACAGAATCCCTAGGAAGGCTGCCACTCCGACTAGGGTCAGCAGCGTGAAGTTGTTCCGGCGAGGAGGCATGGTGGCGTTTGCTGAATAAAAACTTGCTGCTGTAGCGTATCCGGGTGCCAGGTAGTCAGGTAGAGTGTTAAGGGGTACCTGATGTAGGTACCGTACTTGTATGTACGTAGTAAGTACCGGTAAGTATCTCTTCTTAAAGCTTATTTCCCAGCGGCGATCCTCGGCGTCTCGTGTATAGTTCGCAGTTTGGTCGTGGAAGAGTGGTTGTACTACCGGTACGTATGTGGGTGACAAAGAAGCGGTCAATTAAAGAATTCTGAATAGACGGGTCATTTCATTGTTGCTGGCGCAAGCAGAGTAGGGAGGGTCTACCGGTACTCGAAGGTTCATGGAATGATGGTGTTTCATCGTTGTTCTGTATGGAGACGGAGACAGGAAGTGTGAACTTACTGTGCTCTGTGCTCTGTGCTCTGTGCTCTGTGCTCGCACTCGCACTCGCACTCTGCCGCCAAGGGTTCAGCATACTGTAGTACCGGTACCGTACTACTACGTACTACCTACTACGTACTACTAGATTGGTGCCCGTTGGACCTTGAACCCCTCGGACCCCGCCGAAGTCGCTGCGAGGCCGTACCCCGCATACCGCACGCATGCTTAAAAAACTTTGTCAAAAGAGTGCCAAAGTAGTATTTCAGGACAGTTCTTCCCATCAACCATCAACCTTCCAATTTTCCAATCTTCCAACCTTCCTATCTCCAGTCTCCATTCAACGTCAACATCAACACCAATATGGCATTTCCACCACCACCGGTCAACACTATCGACTGGAGCGACATTGGCTTCCGTGTCCGTGAAGGTAAGAAGGAAATCATCCCCATCCACCCCCCCCACCCCCTTGCCCTTCGCTCACATCCCTCACCCTCAGTCAATGGCCATATCGAGTCCCATTTCAGCGTCAAGACGGGCGTATGGTCCAAACCTCAGTTCGTCACTGACCCCTTCCTCCGCCTCCATGGCATGTCACCAGCCCTGAATTACGGCCAGCAATGTTACGAAGGCATGAAAGCTTTCCGCTCTCCTACCAACGAAATCACCATTTTTCGCCCAACCCGCAACGCCTCTCGTTTTGCCCACTCTGCCACAGTAGTATCGATCCCTCCCGCACCTGAATCTGTTTTCTCCGAATGTGTACATGCGGCTGTTTCCCTCAATGCTGCCTACGTTCCTCCGCACGAGACCGGCGCTGCCATGTACATCCGGCCTCTGGTCTTCGGCTCTAGTGCTCAATTGGGTCTGAATCCTCCTGAGGAATACACCTTCTGCGTATACGTGCTGCCAGTGGGTGTCTATCATGGCGTGCACCCTGTCAAGGCTCTGATTTTGGAGGACTTCGACCGTGCGGCACCGGATGGAACAGGCAATGCCAAGGTCGGAGGAAACTATGCGCCGGTGTTGAGGTGGAGTGACAAAGCAAGAACAGAGGGCTACGGCATCACACTGCATCTGGACAGCAAGACTCGCTCTGAGATTGACGAGTTTTCTACAAGTGGGTTTATTGGCGTCAAGGGTACTGGAGATGATATCACGCTGGTGACTCCGGATAGCAAGTGTGTGATTGCCAGTGTGACCTCGGACTCGTGTCTTGAGATTGCTAGAAGTTTTGGGTGGAAGACGGAAACTCGCTCTGTAAGCCTCTTTTATGCTCGCCACTTTGCTCACATTGGTCACTTTTCGTTGTCACAATTGAAGTCAGACTTCGACGTGATCCTCTCCAACCTTAGTGGGGTCGATTCCCGCAATGCCGAATAGGCAATTTGGATGTCTTGGTGCACGGTACAGTCCGCAAAAACGATACGCTAATTCAAATACAGATCAAATACGAGGAGCTTCCCGAATTCTCAGAAGTGCTTGCTGCTGGTACTGCAGCAGCCCTCGTACCCATCAAGTCCATCACCCGTAATTCCCGAAACGAAACATTCTCCTACATCGCTGCCGATTCCCAGGAGCCAGGGCCAATCTGTATCAAGCTGCTTACGACACTGAAAGGCATCCAGACAGGGAAGATCAAAGATACCTTTGGCTGGAATAGCAAGGTTGAGGAGACGGATTCAAAGAAGTACAGTTCGGGCGAGCAGTCGAATGTGACGAATGGTGCAAGTGTCGATGCTTTGCCATGAACGAAATATAAACATTCAACCTAGTGACTCATGCCAACCACAATCTGAAGCTGCGAATCGGGTGATACTTTTCGAAGGTCCAAACTGCATAAAAAGACGCATTCTCCGCCATTTGATCACGGTATTTTGAGATTGAGAGGAGCCTCGAAGAGGAAAAAACGGTTCCAAGATAATTTTCGTTCAAAAACTTTCCACCTCAGACCCAGAAACACAGTTGCCAAGTGATCAACCTGTTACCGGATGCCAGTAGTACATAACAGACAAAGTATAGTGTCAAAGACTTAACCCAATATTACCGCTATACCACTTCTCGTGGCTTCCCCCACTTAGAACAATTCATCTCTCTTCCACCCAATCAACCAGAAAGATGAAACGTCAGCCCGAGATCTTCGCACTACCCTTTAACCGCTCCGACGATCCACCCAATCTGCGTCCCGAAATGACACCTCGACGACTGCCCGCTAACAGCTCAAGCGATTCTCCCAATTGATTCTGGGACAGAGTAGGTACTGTACCTGTCAAGCACCATCTGAGCACAGCGGCTTGCTCACCACACCTGTCCAAATCAGGAAGTGGCGGCACGCGTTTTCCCCCGTCTCGTGGTGGTGGTGGTGGTGTGGACATCCCCAGGTACAGTAGCAGCGAGTCCGACCCGTCGGGCTGGTGCTTGTTTGGCTGTGGAACTTCTCCACGCCTCCCTTCTTCTACTCCTTTTTTTTTTTCCCTCTTTCTTTCGTTGACGAGGCGAGGCGAGCTGATAGGCGTGGATAGCAAGCTGTGAGAGATCTCATTGATTAGATGAATTATTGATCTGCTAACGTGGGGGGGCTGTAACGGTAGATCTCTACCGGGTCTGCGCATCTACCAGGCGACTCTGTAGGAGAGTACGGCTAACTGTCACCAGCCGCCGTATTCTTTGGACTTTGTACTCTTGACACGATTTTTGAAAGGCAGTTAAGCTGTGATACAAAGATTTTTAACGGATTATGAAGATATTAAGGTTTTTGTGTTTGAGGAGATGGTTCAAAAACAATTATGGTAGAGCTCTAGTCTTGTGAAATTGCCTTATCTGCTATAGCAACTACTCCGTACGTCCTTCGCGAAATCCTCTTCGTCTTCATAGCCGAGGTAGCCCTACAGTCCCGACCGTCCTCATGGACATGAAAGAAGCACCGGCTGCCCTTCGACGCCTCACGCCTCATCCATGGACTATAGCCCGAAATAGCAGGATAGAATGGAACGACGAGTACATAATGAAGAAGCCTCATCATGATCTGAAGGTGTTCCAGGTTATCCCTGGTCAAGTTACAGACCACCTTATCATCCTGGAGTCTGATACCCACTATAAACCAACTGACCTTCTCCTTATGCGACTTCCTGACAAACAAGTCGACGATGATACATGCGACCACACGAACTAGACCGGGCTCTGGAAGGGAAATGCTCCATAGCTTTTCGAGGACAGGCACGAAGGCATCGTCGCGGAGCTTGTACTTTGTTGCGATGTCTTGGATGACGTCCGTTATAGTGTCTTTCAAAGCAACCTCGCATACTGTCGAGTAACGGAGAGTCAGCCAGCGGCCGGGTCTGCATTTCTCTAGTACATTTTCTTGGTATCGTGTTGCTCCTAAGCCCTACAAAAGGGGCTTGCTTGCTGCTCGAGCTCACTCACTCTTGCCGGCGAAGATGTAGAGATCGACGAGATTGTCCAAGTAGGATTGGGTTCTTCCGCCTGGAATTCTCCTTGTACAGAGCCATTCTGCGAATATCTATAATGCGGCTGGTTTACCTTCTGGCAGATTCACAACTCCTTCGCACCCCTCCTTAAACGAGGGGCTGAAGGCGCCGTTGAAGAAGTCGACCGAGTTGCAAAGCAGCGTCTCGTGCAAGACGAACTTTTTGCGTTTGGGACCGACATAGATGGTAACCACTTCGTCGCTAAAGCTGCGGGGTGTCAGCTGGTCGAGCATGTATGGAGATTGAAATGTAACGACTCGCTTTCTTTTGAAGCGACCCTTGTAGTTGATAGAAGTCTTCGATGCTTCCGCTGACGTAGTCTAGAGAGGATTGTTAGCCCCCTTTCCAATATCAGCACAAGCGATGCATGTACTATGTTTTCGTTATTTTCTCCGGCTGATGTAGATACGTTACTCGGTAGCCATGCGCTGCTCTTGCTTGACTATTAGGGAAGGCGCGTCAAATTGCAAACTTCAGGCCATCTGGGGGTGACAAAGATATCATACCATGTTCGATCTTCTCTTATACCGCCTGCTCCCGACCTTTATCATAGTGGCGAGTTGAATTGGAGTGGAGGAGGTGTTGATCGAGAGAGAGAGAGGAGTGAGGCTGCGCGAATATGCCTGGCGCTAATTTGTATCCCGCTCTCCAGCACGGACCGACGTTGGCCCGGCCTGGCCTCACTTACGCTAGCGCCGCGTCGGTCGAATAGGATGGGCATGTATGGTCTATAATTCACACCTGGCTTCTAGGCTAATTCAATTCTTTGACTCTCTCTTCTAATAATGCCACTTCGTAAAAGTTCTTGGCCTACTAAAGGATACATACAACGACTGCAATTCCAAAACGGTTTCCGCAGTCCGGTCTCAAAGTATCCACTGCTAGCCTGTATGCAGATAAGTTTCCTCGAGGAAATTGTAAATATATACGGGTTCCTTAACTTCCAGAATCCCAGCTTCACTAGAACCCATCATAATTTATACATCCTTGTCAAGGAGTCCAAGATTTCTTGATATATCGCCAAGTGTTCGGCTCCATCATACCTTACTCGGAGATATCATAAAAGGAATGGGCAAAGTTTACGGTTTTTGATCTTCAATCAGAATGGTCAAGCTATCAGATACTCGAGAGCTAGAATCTTGAATTTCTGACGGTGGGGAAGTTGCACAGCGCTTCAAGGGCCTGGAGATCCAGGCTTGGAAGAGCGCCGAGTTTGAATGAATACAGTTAAGCGAGGTCCCTCTTCTGGCAGCGAATGCGTTGAAGTTTAAGACCAGGCAATGTCCTCTGCATGATTTCTCGTCCCGAGCCAAGCACCGTGAAGCAGGTGTAATTCTATCAGCGCTTCCTGTTCTCCTCCCCGTCCGGTAAAGCAGTCGCAGCTGGCGTCTGGAAAAGTTCTCTGTATGATGCGCATTCTAGCTGACCGGCTTGAACGAAGTCTCATATGCTAAACTGCTGCGCTTGTATCTCAATACCCACTAGCCCTGCATCAGTCTGCATTTAAAACCCCCACAAGGTCCTTCATTCTATGTCCCTCCGGCCACTGCACGTATTCATCAAAAATGGAGACCTCCTCCAGGTAGCACTTTCTCTCCTTCTCGTGACCATCGTGGCGGTGAAAATCATGCTCGCAGCGACTGTCTGGCATGAGGAATTGGCACTTGAAAGGGACCGGATCTCGAAGATTGTTGTGGTTATCTCGGATAAACGCAAAATAATCCACGATCAAGTCCTCGTGCTTGAAGAGCTGTTTGATGAATTCCCTCAAGCGTTTGCCACCGGGGATCGAAATTTGGTTTTCGTCGGTGAAATTATCATAGTCCAGGAAGATCGACCAGGCAAGGTGATGGATGCAGAATTTTCGAAGGGGGCAACCCTCCGCTGTCTGGCTGTATATGTGGAGAGCAAGCTCGGGCGTGGTTCGTGCATCTCTACAGCGATAGACGATCTGCCTGATAGCATCCATCGTTCGGTTCGAGAGATTGCTATCACAGATCTTCCCCGCAAAGATGTAGAGGTTGAAGAGGTTGAGAAGGTGCTCTGCGGTGTCTTGCTGCGAAACTCGAGAACTGTAAAGCCAATCGACGAACAGCCGCAAAACCTCCGCATTTACTTCCTCCAGATACATCTCTCCGTCATTTTCTCTGGAGCTACCCGTGAACACCGCGTTGAAGTATTCCGACTTCTCGCAAATCAGTTTCTTATGAACAGCGTAATGTTTACGTTTCTTGCCAACGTAGATATGCACGAGTTCAGTACCCAGGCTTGGAGACTATCAGCTACGAAACTGAGAACGGAGATAGAGGGAGATAAAGGGAAACGTACTCGCCGAGAGGCGCCGGCGTTGGACCCATTGCGCGCGCTTGTGCTGCGGTCGTTCGGACTGCGGTTGTTCGGAATCCAAGGATGACTTTTGTCGCGACTCAATTCTTCTATATGATGGAGCGCGATCAGTAATTTGCTGCTTCGAAGGTCGTGCAAATAGGTTTGTGGTGTTGACGAGTCGAAAGCGGTGGTTTTGAAAACAAAGTCTGTCTTCAAAGTCTTTCTAGCCTCTTCGCTTATACGGCCTTAACAGGGATTCAATATTTACATTATTACTTTTGATTCTGTTCCCGAAGTAAGGCCGGCATAACTTTAGCAGTGAATTGAAATTGATATTCTTTCACGCCCGAAAAGAATACAATCGTCTTCTCGAAATAGACTATTTTTGGCCTTGGCGTTGTCGGATAAATGAACAGAAGCGCTATATAGGAAAGAGAAGAATGTACAAAGTCCAGGAGGTGATTTTGTAAGTTCCTTCCTTATTTTTCATGCAATGCATTCTGAGGTTCCTATTGGCTGGCTTCAGATACATTGGGATTGTTGTGCTATCCAGCAAGCCATCATATATCCCAGAAATGACGTGGAGATAGCTGGCTCGTCGTCCGGCAAGTCCATATTTCCATCCCTCTCCTTGAAGTTTCCCATGAAAGCCTTGCGGAAGAAAGCGACCTTTTTGCAGATCACCTTCTTGTGGACGACGTGTTCTTTGCGATCCTGGCCTACGTGTATGTATGGTAACGATTTCTGTGCCGACCATGCTTGAATACGGTCAGCTGCGTCATCAGACAAAAACAGAGTGCGGGAAGGACTTGCGTATACTCGGCCAATATCTCTAGGATCTTGACTAGAGACAATCTGGCGCCGGACTCGATGCTTCTGAGGGTCGAACAGGCTGATGCCGTGAGCGAGAGGTGGTGTGGTGGTCGACCTTCGAGGGAGAGTAGCCTGCCTGCTCCTGGCTCCTTGGAAAAGGAAAGGCCATTGGGTGAAGGAAGCGGAGCTAGTCTTCAGGAAATTGCTTGGGGGCGATTGAAATGTATGCCGAGAAAGTCATTTTGCTACTATCAAATTTTGGGCCTCGCTCGATATGCTTTTTTAGGCTGTGTTGGCTGTCCTTTTTTTAACAATTATTCTCAATGCAATGGAACTGAGCGGACGGTAGCCTTTGAGTCTGCGTCATATTGAGTCTGCGAAAACAAACCTCAATGGTTTGATAAGTTGGTTTTGAGTGCCTTGTTGGCATAAATTAGCTTCCAAATATCCATGATTGCCAAATTCTCTGTTAGCATGTTCTTCTCGAAGGTGTGAAAATAAAGGGCAAAGCAAGTATTTTTTTTTTGCTATGTAGCTAGTCTCAAACTGTTGGTATCACAGGGGGAAGAGGGGGGTGTTGCAATTGAATAAGTATTCTTTGAGTTGTCGGTTTGTACATGCTTCTAAGAAGGAGGGAAACCAAGCTACGTGAATAGTTAGCATAGGCACAAACAGAATTGCAAACAGAATGCTGTATGATCTGACCTTAGTAGGTCATTTTTATCGTACAATCATACTGCCTCATGAGATTTCAGAAGGTTCCAACACAAACCCTCTGGCAAAGACCCAGACCATGCTTTGCAGCTAAACATCACTGCCCCGGTACCCGTAAAAGCGAATTCTCCATCCTTGATGTCTCTGTACCTACCTGAGTGAGTGTAGTCGAATCCAGCCAAGGCGATTCCAACATTTTGTGTGGCGGCAGCTTCCTATGTAATCCCCTGAAAACCCACCGCATATCTACCGCGAATATGCTACTATGTCTGAGCCCCTATCTAGTTGCGGCCAAATACAAAAAGAAACTGGCTGGTTGGTACAGCTCCTAGATGTTGTGACGAGGCCAAAGAATTCGATGGAGTTGCAGATGTCGCTAATTGATTTAAGTGTGTCGTTCTCAAGTAGCAGATTTCACCGCTATTAAGGTGAAGAAGAGAGCAATTAGCATTTGCTGACCAAGAAGCTATATTTTGACAATCAGAGAGAAATTCGCCGGGATATCGCATACCTCCCGTGTCGATGAAAGCGACAATTATCGAAAGTGAAGGATAATTGAAATGCCGGGTTTAGGGGATACTTGACCATCGAAGAAGTCAAAACATAAGCAAAGAAGTCCTCAAAGAGATCTCCATGCTCCCTTGTAATCTCCCACAAACTCTTAGAGCATCTCCACCAATTAGACCGGCACTTCCAGATTCGACTAATGAGTTGAAGTAATCATAGGCCATCATCTGAACAATGAACTTCCGAATTGGGGAATCCTCCAGGGTGTTGTCGTATAATATTCCAACATATTCCGAGTGGCGGCTGAGGCTCCTGATACCTTGTGTGTAGCGGCATGATTCTCCCTGATTCGATCCATTGTTTTATTGGCCCGCCCGTTGAGCAGAAGCTTCTCTCCAAGAACATAAAGATTGTAGAGGATCCGCTGGTAAGACACGTTCTTCCCCTCGGGAACTTCAGAGCGGTATAGTCAAGTCACAAACCATGCAAATGCATCAGGGTGGTCGTCTGAAGGCATCATGGGTCAGCCGTGTAGGATTTTCTGAATTAGGAAAGAGCGATTTTATTCCTGCCATACCTAACATTCCATGTCCCGCGACCCGTGACGACCCCGCCCGCGCCCGTCCTCCGTCTCCCCGTCTGCGTTGCACATCTGCCCCAAGCGCGTCAAGCGGCTGCTGAGCGACTGCGCTCTTGAAAGCCACCCTTGAATGCTCTGGCAAAGAATTCGGACGTATCGCACAGAAGCTGCTTGTGGACGATAAAATTCTTGCGTTTGTGACTGCCAACTGTGATGATGACGGTTTCCTCTCCTATCACGCTGCAGTAACATTCGCACAAAGATAATCAGCAAAATTTTGAGAGAACCATACTCTCTAAGGACCTTTGTCGCCGCCATGCTCTTGGTAAGCTTTTGGTCGGCGTGCTCAATCGAATCATGGTTCCAGACGTGAACTGCTCGGCCTTCCTTGGATTGGCTTGCTGGCGTATGAGATCAAGCACCCAAATAACTAGAAGCCTGATTCCGCCGGATTTTTTGGCGCTGGCTCTATGTAGGTGAGAAGCCTTTGTAGAGACAAAGAAAGGGTTCGAAAGGTGTTTGATATCATGTGTAGAGATCTAGTGCTCCTGTATCTAATTGGAGTCTAAAGCGGCGAGTAATCTTAGAAGAAAAAATTGAGATAATACTAAAGCCTTTTCGTGCCATGGTTCAATATTTCCAATGAATTTGGGAGCACAACTGTCAAATGTCGGTCACGTGTTCTAGCGCACTTTTCATTATATTAACCTAGACCTTCGCCTGCTCAACTTCAGGAAAACATCACGCAGCACATCTACAGCAGCAAACAAGGATTCGAAGATGGATGTAAGTGACGTGGTCCGGAAACTTCAGGGAATATACACTGACGCAGATGATCCAGCCCGCAAAACATCCTCATCAAGGCATTGGCATCTCTCCACCGACGCCGCAAAAGATGGACGATGGCGATAATCATGATTGGGATGTCTTGAAACAGCCGGCTAACAACCCTATCAACAAAGGTGTCGAGCATGGCATCAATGGACGAGCTATCACTGCTGCACACCCGGTTAACAATCCTGCCAATAGTGTCAATGAAGCAGCTAGCATAGGCCCCAGCACTGCTTTGGTCATCGCTTCTGATCCGCAAAAATTAAGCATTTGCGAGTAAGTGTTCTTATTCAATACAATGGCAAGCATTTAACTAATCTGTCGCAAAGCCGCATGGGCTCCGAAGTTGTCACCTTGGTCGTCGGCAGAGACTACCGTAGAAAGACTTATACTATCCACAAGAACCTTCTTCGAGAGTGCGGTGGGATGTACGACGCCTTATGCCAAGATATTGGGCCAGGCTATGACACAGTGATGCTGAATAATGAGGATCCTGACGCCCTCAAGCTCTTTATCAACTACATATACTCCGAGGAAATCCCAGGTGAGTAGATACTATTGATCTTCAGAGATACGGATGCTGATAGATTTAGCCATCCCACATGATGCCCCAGTCACCTTCCAAGCTACACTTCTTGTCATACTCGTGCGTTTCTACGTATTCATCGAGAAATACCACTTGAGTGCTACAGTTCGTGATAAGGTCATGGATAATATTCAAGATGGCTTCTACATGATACAGAAGTTCCCAGAATTGATTCTTACTGAAGGTGTCTGCCTGCACAGTGCTCCTGGCTCAATGATGCGAAAGTTCTGCGCCGCCTCCCTGGTTTACTTTCTTCGCAGCGAAGCTTTTGTTCAAAACGGTTCTATTGTAAGTACTTTTGCCCTTCTCCAGTAACTTTGTGATAGAAGATGCAGGCAAGGGGTTATATCTCTAGGCAAATGCTTAGAGCCATTCTATAAATCAGTGGCCGTATCTTAGTCTCAAGAACGCTGACATTTTCTTAGCCTGCCTTTTTCGCAAAGTACAACGACTTTCTGGTGGACTTCTTGGATGCGTTCCGTGCTTATATCCCACACCAGGACCCCCGAGTTCGCCACTGCAGATACAAGGAGAATTGCATGGAGTGTGTGAGAGCAGGAGGAAGCGACTACCTGACGCGGTTTGACGGGGTCACGCCATGCCGATTCCACGTCCATACTGGTGCTAAGGATGCGGCTGGAGAACCCATCTGCCATCTCTGGCGTCCAGCCTGAATATCCTCGTCCGGTGCCATATTCTGCGAGGTTGAATTGAGGTTCGAGCCTCTGTCTAGGCATCCTCTGTCAAATACTCGAGATTGGTGGCTACGCGGCTCTTAGAGTGAGCTTTTAAGGATTTGAGAGTTTGGAGCAACACTGAGGTGCCCTTTTTCGTCTCTATTCATTCCGAATAAAAGCAGATCCTTGTTTTCTTCCGCTGTTTATGTGCTTTTGAAACCTTAGATTCGTCCGTGAAAGTCTCTATAACCATATTCTCAGATGTTTTTTTTTTTACTTTCCGGTCTTATAGGCTCGCTGCAAGAGCCCAGGAGCTTTGGGCCGACCCTCCGTCGGCGCCAAGAATATAGATACCTTCCTTATATATGTTACATGGCAAAAGATCATCTTTGCTATTCTCAGACAAAATAATCCTATGGCGATGCTGTAGCAGCATTTTCATTATCTGATCCATGTTGTGAACTTCATATTAGCGCTAAATATGACTACCCAATCAATCAATTTCATACTAGCGTCGGGTGAGCGCGCGCTATCTAGCCTAGACTCTTTCGACTTTCACACCTGCCGTTCCTGTACTTCTTCTTCATCACAGCCCGACGCAGCAACGACACACATGACCTCTTTGTCTCGTACAGCGCGAGGCAAAGAAGACGCGGAGCAGACTTGCCTACGTGAATCTCTCTCTTAATCTGGATTTCAACAGTCGACTCTCCATCCCCCGCAGGTGGAATACATCATGGTAATCACAAAGGATTCCGGTCTTGATTCCAAGTAAGCATCCGTCGCAAACTTCACCTTCATTCTAGAATTCTTTTCTGACTGCTAGCATAGGATTCCTGGGACTGAGATCGTCAAGATCTACGTTGGACTGGAGAAAAAACTGTTTAGTATCTACAAGGAATCGATCTGCGCCAAGTCTGACTTCTTCAAGAAGGCTTTCAAAGGCAACCTCCAGCAATCAAATGGAGTCATGTATATGCCCGAAGAACATATTTCAGCTTTCAAGACTCTGATGGTCTTCCTTTACTAGGACCACTTTCCGCACTTTCCAAGCGAGACGTTTCCAGCGTTCCAGGACGGTGCTATTGATTATTACAATATCTTGTATTCGTTTTATTTCTTAGCTAAGAAGCTTTGCATAAACGAGTTATAAAAGAGGATTACCGATAAAATGCAAGACGTATCGCGCGAGTTCGAGATAAGACTTATTATTCTCGAGCTAAAAAGATATTATATAAATATATATAAGAACAGAAAGTTGCGAAAGTACGATATTATAATAGTTTGCTATTAGTTTAGAAACGTTAAAGAGAGGTTTATCAGCTAGTATGCGGAATTTTTGAAAGAACAGCTTGACTTTAAAGCCGACTATCTATCACTTATACCTTATAAAAGGTCTTAATGCGATAAGCTCGGCTTGCTAACTTTTTGACGCAAATAAATATAATAATAATAGCAATATCAACTTGACTTTGATTTTAACTTTAACTCGATTTACAAGACCTTTTTATACTACGAAAATTGATTTTTGTTTCTTAGAAATAATTGCACAATTTCGCATTCAGAATCATAAGAGAAGATCTTGAAGACTTTGCAGCCAAGATCTTTCATGATGTTCGGGCCCGTTAGTTTTGTTGGAACTGAGACTTCAGTTCGTTCTGAAACCTTAGTAACTTTGGTAACTAATAAGGCTAAGGCGAGAGTAGCGGTCAAACAAGGAATATTTCAGTCATGTCAGTCAAGTTAATCAAGTCAGTCAGGCCACTTGACTGCTCCGTTTGCTATTCCGTTTATACCTCAAGTAGCTTCAATTTCACTTAATCAACGGTATGCAAAATCAACTGGATACACTCACTCAGACTGAATACGTATTTAACTTGCTTCACATACACCCTGTGATACCAATAAGTTTACTCCTCGATACTTGCGCCTACGTCGTTATTTGCACCCCTCATTAATTACCACCAAAAGTCAGCTCGGCAATTACTCCGTTCCGGTCCAGATCATCGAATTCATGACGAAATGACATCTAAAGTATTTCAATTGAGTGCCGAGTAAGTTCCTTTCCATATTTTTTGAGCCCACTTCTATTTTTGGTAATCTGCTGACTCTCTCACAGGGCAATGGGAACAGAGATAGTCACAATCTACGTTGGCCCCAAGCGCAAGCCTTTCGTCCTCCACAAGAAGCTGCTCTGCGATCGATCCGAGTTCTTCTCGAAGGCCTTGAACGGTGGCTTCAAGGAATCCGCCGAGGGTATTATGTACCTCCCTGAAGACGACGCCGATGTGTTCGAGGTCACGAACATGTTCATCTACCAAGACGCCCTGCCAGCCTTTCCGAGTGACAAGTATCCAGCAACCGCGGCTGGCACACGCACCTTCATCAACGTCGTCTTGTTCCAACAATTCGCCTTTGCTTCCAAAATATGTTTCGACTATCTTGCCAATCGAGTCATGGATATGATACAGGACGTGCAACGAGAACAGACTCGATTCCCAGTCCTCCCCATGATCGCATTCGCGTACCAGAACACCAGCGAAAAGAGCAAACTGCGGATCTACTGTGTTCTGATGTGTCTGCTCATGGTCAATTGGAGGGCAAAGGGTGTATCTATCAACGTTACGCACCAGGACCAAGGCAAAGCCTTAGGAGAGGTGGTACAACGACACCCCGACTTCGGATCGGATTATCTGGAATATGAATGGAAATATGTGCAGATGTTCCGTGAGGGAAAGCTGAGAGTATTGAATATTCTAAAGCGGACCGATGAAGGGGGATTGGGACGATGTTTCTTCCACAGTCATCTCAAGAATAGCACATGCCACCTTGACTTGGAAAAAGTTTAGAAGAACGACGACTGGATGAGGCCGGGCGGGAGGCATAATCAAGCAAATAGATTCGAGGAAGTTCAGTTCTACCACATGGGCACTTTGTAACTCAGTCTCAGCATCGCGGATGAAGCAAGGGGCTTCCATGACAGATGTATGAGCATTACGCAAGGAAAGGTACATCAAAGAGACTTAATCTGATTCTCAACTTTAGTGGTGCATCTGGAAAAGTTATTCCTTTGCTTATGAAAACGGGGACACTAGGCTGATCCTAACATCCCCCGTTGTAAAAGTTACATTGACCCAAAGTCAAAAATTAGCCTTGCGATTAATGGAAAGAGATCCTAAAGTACATTGGATCCAGTATCTTCAATCGTAGAGGGAAATGAAGTCACATCTCGGGCCGCATCATCGGAGAGTACCAAACGCCAGAAGAAAATCCAAGCTTCAGTACAAATTCCTCCGCGGCTGTGATGTGACGCAAGATTCTAGTCGTCCTTAGGAGACCAGACTGCCATGATAGCGCTTCCAGGTGTGTGGGGCGTGGCAGCAGACAGGCGGTTGCTGAAGGGAGTCGCCGGCTCGATGTTTTGGCGACTAGCCTGGCGGACGGGAGTGGTCGGACAAGCAGGCGGGCCTGCAAATATGGGACGTTAGTATAATTTCTCAACAATCTTTGAGACTGAATGAAATCTCTCAGGCGTGCTTCGAGTCAAAGTCCGAGACACGCACGTGTCGGCGAAGTGCAATAGAACTCTAAAATAAGGAATGGAAAACGACTTACTGGCGGTGGCTTCAGTCGTGCTCTCCGAGCCGCAGGTTTGTTGGCTGTCCACCATCGAGTGGTCATCCAAAATTTCGGTGTCAGACTCCGCATCATAGAGATTCTCATCTGGGACTCTGGCTAGCTCGGCGAAGATGGCATATCGGGCGACGTCCTCGTCTGAGTGGGAGTCGACATCACCGAGTGAGTGAGATTTGTTGGCGGAGGCACTCAAGCTGGCGGTGGGTGAGACATCGAGGCTGATGACTTGGTCAAGATTCTTGGGTGTAGCTGGGGCTCTGACAGCATGGGTAGCGGCAGGCACAACGGGGGTTTCGACGATGGGGCCAGAGTACTCGAAGCCTGGGAAAGGATCATTTGCGAGGACGGCATGATCCGAGAGGTTGAGACCGAGGTTTTGAGCAGCTACGACGCGATAGTTCCAGTCGCTGCTGTCGATGGTTTCTTGGATGAGTTCCCGGTTACTTTAAATTTTCGAGTCAGTGTGCTTCCGGGCAAAGAATAATTTAAACGGGCCCGTGAGCATACCACCACTTGTTAGGATCTGCGCCGCCTGAGCCTCCAACATATCCTCCATCCTCAGCAGACTGATTGGCGCCCATTGCTGGCTCATCTGAGAACTCTGGCTCTTCGACCACAAACAGTTCCATTCCATCGTAAACACCCCCCGGTTTTGAGCCGCTCGCACCAGCAGCAACACCAACAGCTCCAGCGTTAATGTTCATAGCCTTCATATAATCTGCCTGGGAGGGCTTAGAGATCGAGCCATCCCAGCCTGGCTTCTGCCATATGATCGTCCACTCCGCAAAGTGCAGAGGTGCGTTCTCGTACCCGCTCTCGATAGCTCCCGACTTTCTGAGAGATGATTCGAGGCTGCGTATCTTATTTTGTGTCTTTGTTCTCAATTGGATACACTCTTTCGCCTCGAGATTACTGTTTGAGTAACCAAGATGTTGAAGCAGCTGTATAGCCCGGGCTAGTCAGCAGTTTCCCGTTCACGAAGGTTCTTGGACGAGGATGAAATGCCCCAATCGTTTCGAAACACTCAGATCATGAAATAGAGAATGCCTTCATTACATACCTCAGCGAAGTCTTCCTTGTGGCCGGTGACCTTGCTGGTGCGGTGAATTCTCATGAATCGTAACATCATCTTTAACTCGGAGGTGTTGAACACAAACTTCTTGGCCAGGCGGCTACGGAGAGCTTGTGGAGAATTAATGGGAACGGGAATCGAAAAGTTGCTTTCGGGGCCGTGGTGTTCGATCTCTGCCTCATTTGCTGCCTCGTCCTCGGCGGGGTCGTCGAGTTCGTCGAGGGGCCAGGTCAAGCACTTCCAGGTTGGCTTCTTCAAACCTCCATCCATTTCAATACCGAGCGCGCTGCCGCTGTTCCCGGAGGCTTCGGAGATCAAAGTTACGGTTGTTACATCGACGCGTCTTTGTTTGGTCTTGCGGTCGAGAATAAGATCATCGGCGCTCTTGGTGCGTACAGCTTGCCACCGAGACAACTTGCCTGCTGGAAGCGGAATTGGGGTGAGATAGGAGCGGGTTGGGTTAGAGTGTTCGCCGATGAAGGTCGCGAAGGCCTCAACTTCGACGCGCTCCACTTGTTGTGCCTTGCCCTCGGGAGCAGGGCCATAGGGGTGATAGAGAGCATGCAAGTTGGGCATCTTATGAATAGGAGCTGTAGCTGGGGTGGGTTTTGCAATGGAGGTATGCTCGGCGCCTTCAGCGATAATGGCCGGAGCGGGTTCGTTTTCGAGGCGAGGGCGCTTGTTTGGTTGATCCTGGGGGTTGGAAGCAAGGCCGTAAGTATTACGGTCACGGTCTGCCTGCCACTGCGACATCTTGCATACCGGAGCTGCAGATATTGCGGGTTGCGAGATTGGAGTTGGTGGGTTCGTTTCCTCGGGTTGAAGTTGATGTGCGAGGAAATAGGATGAGAGGAAAAGAAAATTTCTACTTAGCGAAATCGAATGGTGCGGTGGCTCGATCTTGTTGCGATTCAACGAGTTAGCAGTTCAGCTTTGAAGTCTTTGCGATATTCACCCTTTTTTACGCGATGTGTTGGTAAACAGAAGCTAGCGCGGACCCGCTATTTGATCAAGATACCGAGCATTGCCATATACCAATTCACTTCCGTTTGATGGTTTATGGGAAAATGCTCGCCGAATCCATAGTTTTGATGTCGTTGCACAACGGTCATCAAGCTATTCCGGAAGGGCCACCAGACCCACGGCATGCTGAACGCATCGTCCCAGCATCGAGACTGCGTGCAAGAGCCAAATACCAATACACGAAACTAAAACGCAACTCGTAAAAGCTCTTTTGATGCTGGGATATACTGCCAAAATGACGACTTCATGATCCCAGGCACTCAGGGTCCAAGATCGTCAACTGCCGCAACTCGGATCCAATGTATCATTTCGCAAATGTTACAACAGAGCAATGAGGACCGTGGAATTCATGATAAGACGAAGAATAAAACTGATTTTTGATCCTGCTCATACCAAGCATTCGCACAAGGGATCAAATGCCATGACAACTCCTCTGCACTCTGAATTGCCAAAGCTCTAACGCTCTAAGCCAAAACCTAGAGCGAGAGCATTCTCACGCCTCGAACTGAGCGAGAACAGCCGTCAGGCCTGGGGGAAAGAGTTCATCTATCTTTCAGAATATACATCATGTCCCAAACGCCGACCTTGACTTTCATGTCTTCTCATCTACATCTTCCGAAGTTTGATATTACAATTGCTGATGGCCAAGGCTTCCACATCCCATATAACCATTCGATTACACCTGTCTTTCAGGTGAGCTCGCGCGTGGCCGTTTGGCCCAAGTACGAGTTCATAAACTCAAATAACTTTCTCGGCTTCTTCCAGCAAGTCCTCCACCTTAAAAGCAGGATCTCCCTTACCAAACAGCTCTAACAGTCGCCTCCGCTCGCTCTTCTCTCCATGGACCCCATAAAACTTCTGTAGACACATAACCAACCATTTGGCCTCATCTACGCTCACGCCCCGCCCCTCCACAACCTGACCTTGCAGCAATACTACACCCTTATCCTGTGACAGTTCCAAATGGTGTGTAATCGTTGTATGTGGTTCGCTGTACTCTCCTCTCAATTTATATTCAGCAAGATGGGTAAAGAGTACCGTCACTATGTTCTCTGCTGGGAATGTCCATTGCAGGATGTGGATTTCGGCACCTTGCCCTTCTTTGGGGAGGGGCAGTATGAAATATGGAAACTTTTTCGCGGTTGCTTGTAATACGTTGTAGACATCTGTTGGGATGACAGCGCATAGTGACTGTGGATTGTTGACATGACGCAGGCGCCAGATAGCTTCAAGCTCTTTACGGGGCATCGCGCGGGTTTTCTCCAGGTCCAGGAATGAAGAAAGAGTCTCTATTCCAGGTTTAGCTGATGGAAGCTTCTCTGTGGGTGTATGCGGGGCAGCAGGTGGCGGCGGGAATGGCGAATTGGTTGTGGATGGCTGTGGAGGTGGTCCAGGGCCGAGGGGAATGGATAAGGTGGCTTTTTTCTTGAGATGATTGATTTTGTCTTTGTAGACTTCTTTCAACTCATTGATGTCCCGTAATCCTTCTCTGTTGAAGGCAGAACATTAGCATGGAATTCTTGCATGGAGGATACATTTTCTTACTCTTTTGCCTTCTCTGCGAGCTTGTCCTTGTATTTCTCTAGCACCCCGTCTGACTGCTGAGTGGCCAAGAACCGGATATCGTGAACCTGTGCCCATCGCCGTTGTGTTGCTCGCAGATAAGGAGCTGCACCAGACACAACATGGCGTATAGCTGGTGTCCGAAAGCTGGCCATTGTGATTGACCTGGGCCGATGTCGTGAGGAGGAAAGGATGGTCGTTGATATTGGGTTTGCTTTTTGTGAGCCGCATCACGTATCAATAATTATCCGGCTTGGCTCGGTTAATGACTATTGATTGTTTACTATCATTGACTACCCTGGAGAAAGAATTCAAATAAGACTAGCTGATAGCTGCATACTGTCCAAGAAGAGATACCCCTCAAGAATCACTCTTTTTTAATCGAGAACGTCCCCCTCCTCCGCTCTCTAATCCTCAGAGTAACTCGCGACCGTATTGCTGCTGCAGGACAGGCGAAGGGACGGAGAAGTGGTGAACTGGGGCTGCGCAAAACTATTTTCCATTGAATATTATAGTGGTGTTTGTATATATTCTACTAGTGGTGAGTTAAGACCGATGGTACCTTGACCGAAGATTTCTTGGGTGCGGGAAGTTACTTTTGGTGAATGTAAATATCCATCTACCCACCAACTTTGCATCTATCAGGTGGACCCCCGCTGTGGTATAGTGGAATACCGACCCTGCAGTAAATCGGACTTCAGCATTTCTGACTTGGACGGGCTTGCTAACACCTCATTTGCAGGAGCGCGGGCGCCTTTCTTTTTGTTTCCCTGACTTTTTTTTGGCCCTCATTTTGGATCGCCCAAGAAACACGCGTCGGTAACGCGTCCATCGCAAGAGCCTGGTGGTCATCTCTTTTTGTTCATCCCCCCAACCCCCACTCTCCTGATATTTCTCCTTTTCTCTGAACCAGGACTGGTCGCTATCGATGACCGAATGGCTTGAAGAAAAATAAGCAACGGATGGGATATTTTAGTATTCCATGCCAAATACCCGTCCTGAGTTCTGACCCCGTCTTGACCAGTTGTTACCTGGAGGTAAGTAGTTGTTAAACTCGACTCTTTCTTGCAACCATGGCTCAATTTATCCAGATCTGAAGTTAATTTATCCGCCGCAGAGTACAGAAACTTCAATACGTCGGTACTGTCGGTCGCTCCCGCTGACAATCGAGGAGCAACAAATCTCCATCATCGATGAATGATCCTCGGCGTCCGGCAACAGTTATAATTTAAGACTTTCCAGGGAAAGTTTCCGGGCATCGTTGATCGGTTCGCGTCTTCTCAGGAGACTTTCTAATGTGCGACTCCGAGTACCACCGCTGACGGCTGAATGGTCGCCCTCGATCAATGTGACTCCTACACAGATCGAGCAATGGAGTGATCGATTCCGAGCGAATGACGATTTGAGACTGGCGCTTAGAGCCCCCAAAACAGTCCTCGACGTTGTGGTCTCCGCGATTTCATATACTTCCGAATAGCGGTGAGCTGCAGCTTCATCGTCTACTCCCACCCAGGGAGGGCGTCACCACTGTGCTCCCATCCGCCGGGGCCCATGACCGAGCTAGAGCTTCATATTTCCATCACCTTGAAAAATATAGGCTCTTGGTGAGATCAAGTACGTTGAAAGCGGTGTTTGAGTCTGGCGTTGCGAGATCGGCCTCGGGTTGTTTTGTTGATCGATCTGGCGAATGTCACTTGGGAGTTTCGGGCCCTTCTACTTCCCTGGTAGAAGTTTGAGAACTAATCTAGGACTAAATAGGCTTTTGGATGACTTTTCATTTTAATTTTAGGTAACCGAATTACTCCCTGATTCATTTTTGCAGGCCACAAGGTGAGTCAACTGTGAGTCGTCCGGCCCCACTTTTTAAGCGAATGTTGTTGTTTACTGGGACATATTATTTAATTTTCCCGCCCATTGAAGGCTCACCGGCTTGCAAATAGACATTGGAGAAGAGTGAAAACTTTGAAATATAGTGGATTTTTTTCTTCGCGGGTATCAAGGTCGCTGCTCCATGTTAGTGGCGTGGTCCGCATTCTGGCCTTAACACCAATCCTTGAATTTGGTCGCGTACAGGGACTTGTGTTCTCAGACTCGCTGAAGTATGATGATGCATATATTTCCTTATTCCAACTATTCATTTTTCATTGGTCTCATCTTTTTCCGGATACTCTAATGTGGTGGAACCGCAAGACCGAAGACAACGTCAATTTTTGGAGATCAGAAACGGTCTTAGAGGTCGGCTCACCGTAACTCCTGCGAAAATAGTGGCCAATTATATAGTAAGTCTTTCGATAACTCTTCTCCCTAGGAAAACTGAACAAACCTGCTGCATTCATACCTGCCCAACTACTAGCCGCCACTTTGAAAATTACATCAGCTCCCAAATCAGAAGTCCTCGATAAGCAGTTTTTTTCATGCTGCTGGCTCTGTCGCCAATGGCAGCAGCCACCTCCATCTCCTTCCTGGCACGGCTTCGTCCGCTCGCAGTCAAGTACTTCACTCAAATCAGTTCGTTACAGCCAGATTCACAAATGAAGAGGGTGTAGTGTGCCCCTTGGGATAAAAGTTTTGAGAAAATAGGCTCATAAATTCTATTCCAACTTCAGATTCGTTGACATGGGTAAACCAAGTGGGTAATCGTGTCAGTAAGGCAGGCCAGACACGGAGAATTCTTTTACAACTGCAAGTTTCCTCAGCATACTCGTGGCATCGAGGCTTTCATACCTCTGTATGTATTCAAAAGATTTAAGGTTCACGGTCCTTTATCTAGAACACTTATCCCTCCGATTCCTCCCCAGAAATCCCCAAAACCTCAATAGGACGCCTATTTCCTAGCTACGCTACCCTCGGCATTCTAGTCCGCGATAATGTCTGCCCTCCTCCGGTTGTGTTTCTTTCCTCGAAACGCTGGATATAGAAATGTAACCCCCGCTCAGCTACTCAGCTTCTACGCTCCCGATTTCTCAAAAAAAAAAAAAAAGTGGGGGAAGGGGGGGGGGGGGCCGTGAGAGAAAAAGAAAGGAAAAGGAATAGACATTTCCACATCGAAATATGAGATTCGATTCTAACTAACAACTTCGAACCTCCAAATTCCAACTTCCAACTTTGAATCTCGAACGACGACACCCGTCTCTTCACCGTCTAATCACTTCTTTACCACACCCTTATCAACGATACAAAAGCCCCTAATTATAAAATAACAGTTCATAAGCGGATGTATCTCAACAGACATCTTCATTTTCTAATCTTCTGATCATCGAGTTATTATCGTTGTCGGCCGAAAACCTCATTCTATCCCATTCCGTCCCCTCGTCTCCCCCTTCTCCCTTCAATCCCTCTCCTCGCCTCTCCCTCCAATCCCCTCCGTCCCATCCTTCTCCTTCCCCTCTCCCAACCCACCTACCAGTACAGCCCAATCCACAAGAGAAACTAAAAAGAAACGCAACCCAAAAACACCCCAAAACACAAAGCCAAGAAAAGCCTCCTCCCTCCGTACCCAATGACGAAAACTTAGCTACCTACCTAATGAAACATTCACCAGAAGCAATCGATACACCTACCTCCCTCTCTGCCTCCCTTTCTACCAACCTACCAGCTGTCATCCTCTCCTCTTCTCTCCTCGCCGCGCTTCGCTTTCTCGGGACCAGAAACTCGGAGCCTAGGAGAAGAAACTTGGCAGGAATGAAGGATGGGGTTTTCGTCGAAGAAAATATCGAAAAGCGAGGCCCGAGGCCCGAAGTGCAATTACAACCTATTGTGCAGATCAGGAAATAGCATTGGAAAATGCGATAAGAAAAGAATCGGTAGCGGAGATGAGGCTTAGCGGAACAACAACAACAATCATAGAACGTCACGTTTCAGCTCAGAAAGAGTCACAAAAGGCATGCAAGTCCTATGCATGGTGGGAGATAAAATAGGATGAGAAAGGATACAACAAGACTGCCGAGATTCAGCAAATGCCTGCTTGTATTTGTCTCAAAGACCTAAACCAGAACTAGAAGCAGAGGCGGAATGACCCTGCCAGAATCGGGAGGGCATGCGGACTACGAGAATCGCAAAACTAACTAGTCACCGTCGGCGCGCGCCAACAAGGCGGGGATATCATCAACTGTTTTCTGACCCTCCAAAATATCTGTTTCTCGTTAGAGTCTACTTTGGAAGTACTCACGTTTCGGGACTATGTAGGGAGAGGGGACGTACCGAGAACCGCCTTGAACAGCGGATATTCATCCTCCCGTCCCTGGGACTTTAAAAAGCTGTTCACTTCCTTTGCAGTACTGGTTCCCTGCAACTTCTGCCCATTTAGCTCCAACTTCTCTACCTCGTCCACACTGATACCCTTCTCGATAGCCATCTTGGCGCATCTGAAATTCCTGCCTCCGCTGCAACTGGTGATCATATCTGCGACGCCACAGCTCTCCTCTGTAAACGTTCCCGCATGCACCGTCTGCCCGAAAAACTCTTTGCCGAATTTAACCATTTCCAACAGTCCGACTCGCATTACTGCGGCCTTGGCATTGTCTCCCCACCCTCTGCCTTCCACGAACCCGGCTGCGAGAGCAACAATGTTCTTTAATGCTCCCCCGAGAGAGACGCCTGCTACGTCTGATACCATGCGAACGTGGAAATATGGTCTGTGGAACAGCGTTCTGAACAGGGCGTGGTCGAGGGGTGGGTACTGGGCCGGCACAGCCTTCAGCTTGATCTTGCTCACCCGTCCCAGCACATCTCTGTGCGGCTCATCCACCGGCGTAATGGTAAGGTTGATAGACGAGGAGGAAGGCGAAGGGCCAGCGGGTGTCGTGACGCGCGAGTCGACAGGCGGAGGATCGTATGCGATGGTCGTCTCACACCACTTCTCTTGTGCAATCTCATTGGCAATGTTCGCGCCAGAGAGGGCGCCGCAGTAGATACCCAGTCCCTCGCCAATCCATTCTGAAAAGAGGGAAATTTCGGAGGAAGTAACGTTCACACCTTTGATGCAGGAGATGCCACGGGCGAAGGGTAGGATGTTGCCTTCGAGCTGCTTGGAGATGCGGCCGATGAACTGGTGAGGAAGGTTGAAGATCAGGATCGAGGAGTCCTTCGCGGCGTCGACGAGGGAAGGGTTGGCGATGATGTTGGATGGGAGGGTGATGTTAGGGAGATACTTGACGTTTTCGTGGAAGGTATTGATTATCTCAGTGAGCTTTTGCGGAGTATCGCCCTTGGAGAGGTCGTAGTGTTTGGAGTCTTTGGCGATAGTCACCTCCTCTTCGAACACCCACATCTGTACATCTGTCTGGAAGAGGTCCGGATGCGCTCTGGTGTTTTCGGCGACGATTTTGGCGATTGTGGAGCCCCTTCGCAGGTTAGAAGGGTGCCAGGTCGCAGCGTGGATGATTGTGTACAGTACCAATTACCAGATCCTACGACGGTGACCTTGTGCTTCTTTGAGTGTGCGCCGAGGGTGGCCATGGCTGCTCGTTGGGGGTGGTGGGGGGATTTGGGGTGGTGGTGAAGGTGAAGGTGAAGGTGAAGGTGAAGGTGAAGGTGAAGGTGAAGGAGTTGAAGCTGTTTGGAAGGTTGCGGTGTCCGTCTGGAAGCTTGATTGGCTTGAGCTGCTGCGAATCGAAGAATGAGCATATGCGGGCTGCGAATGGAGGGAAGACGGGGTTGAAGGAGAAGAAAGGACAATACAGGAGAAGAAAGTCTGTGTGGTTTTGTATAGGCATGGATGTTGATATTGGACCTTCTCATGTTTTGTTGACTGTTGACTGAGCATAAGAGTACTGCCCGCGTTGAGGCCGAAAGGAGTTTAGTGCGGGGATGGCGGGATGAGAATCAGAGTGGGATAGGTAGATAAGACGACACGTGACTAGTCATGCCACATTGATGGAATCATGTGATGAGATGGAATGTGTCAAGACAATCAACTCAACTCACCTCACCAACACCCGAGCCCAGCCCCTCATGACGTCGTCAGCCATCACCCCACCCATCCACCCAGCTCGTGCAAGCTCGCCAGGTGCAGCTGCTGCACAAGTTACAAGGCGACGGTACAGTAGCTCTAGCTCTAAGCTTCACCTCCTCCCCTAGTACCGTAATATCTTCACACCGTCTTCTCGTACCTATACCCTACCTGTTGATCCCCGAGTCGTGATACCTACCGTACCTATATCCATCCTTCTTCCTATTTTCTTCCTTCCTCATCTCTTGCTTCTCTCTCCCTCTCCGACTCCCACTCCCACTCCCACTCCCACGCTCGTTGTATGTGCCTCTGTTGCACTAACAGCTCAATCCCCTTTTGCAGCATCCAAGCTGCAAGAGACCCCCTCCCCCCTCCCCGCTCATCAATCAATGATCCCGACAACAATGGTTTCCGAAGATGTATATTTGCTCCCTCTCAAGGACGATGGGAGTCCAGATGTCCCAGGTGGCTATGTCTATCTGACGCCCGAGAGTTCTGCGCCTCTCACCCTTCGCTTTGCAATCGAAGGCACATCCTCAATCTGTAGACATGGAAGTCTGTGGACCAACATCCCAGAGGAAGGCGCCGAGTTTCAAAGAAACAAGTTCCGCGAATTCAAGTGAGTCGGTCAAACCTGCGGGAGCTCCCGAGCTAATGGCCCCCAGGCTCGAGCCGGACTTCAATCGGACCATCGAGATCTCCGTCTCAATCCAAGGCGCGGGGTCTTTCGCCTTCTACACTACCTATACCCCTCTCCCCGACCTCTCCGAAACCATCCAGAAAGCCCTGGAGCCCGCAAAGACGGATGTTTTCTATATCGATGTTGCTCCAAGTCTCGCGTTGGAGGGCAGGCAGATGCCACTGGCTGCCCTCTCGATCTTCTCTCTGATCTCGAAATTCATGGGGAAATACCCGACAGACTGGGAGAAGCACATTCGCGGAATAAGCGAGAGGGGCTACAACATGATCCACTTCACGCCTTTGCAACAAAGAGGATCGTCTAACTCGCCCTACAGCATATACGACCAGCTTTCCTGGGATCCAGAATGCTTTCCCAACGGAGAGGCGGATATCCAAAAATTGGTTCGCAGCATGGAGAAAGACCATGGTTTGCTGGGGTTGACGGATGTTGTCTGGAACCATACTGCAAACAACAGCCAGTGGCTCCAGGAGCACCCCGAGGTTGGATATAATGTCTCGACAGCACCATGGCTACGTGCTGCGTTGGAGTTGGACACTAAACTGCTGGAGTTCAGTGATACATTGGCATCAGAGGCTACTAATCTGAAGACTGTAGACGATTTGTTGAAAGTAATGGAGGTCATCAAGTCAGAAGTGATTGCGAAGCTCCAACTCTGGCAGTACTATGTCATTGATGTAGAACGAGACGCTGACGCTGCCGTTGAATCTTGGGCAAAGGGAGAAATCTCTTTCCCAGAAGGCGGGTTCGGGGGCAATGATTTTGGAGGATTGGAGACGATCAAGAACTCGACACCTGCGGAGATGGCCCTTTTCTTGACTTCAAAGGCCTTGCTCAATACCGACAGGCTTGGGGAGCGGTATAGACGGGCTACAGACCCCAAAATCGTCGCTGCATTAATAACCGCGATTTACGGTCGCTTCCATGGAGATAATTCGAATTCGGCAGACCGAGCAGCTGTGAGAAGCAAACTGGTTCACATTCTGGACGAGGTCAACTTGCCTCTCTACCAAGAATATGACAAGGATGTTGCAGAAATCTTGGAACAGTTGTTCAACAGAATTAAATACGTGAGAATCGATGATCATGGACCAAAAGCCGGTCCTATCACCAAGAAGAATCCGCTGATTGAGCCATACTTCACAAGATTACCCCAGAACTCGGTCACAGCCAAGCATAACCAAGAAGATCTTGCTCTCGTGAACAACGGGTGGATCTGGGCTTCCAACGCATTGGTCGATAACGCAGGTCCTAACTCGCGGTCCTACCTTCGACGTGAAGTCATCGTTTGGGGCGATTGCGTGAAGTTGCGGTACGGCAAGGGTCCAGAGGACAGCCCTTATTTGTGGGAACATATGGCCAAATACACTCGTCTGATGGCCAAGTACTTTACCGGTATCCGAATCGATAACTGCCATTCTACTCCCATCCACGTAGCTGAATATCTCCTTGACGAAGCCAGACGGGTTCGCCCTAATCTGTTTGTAGTTGCTGAGCTTTTCACCGGCTCCGAGGAGATGGATTACGTGTTTGTCAAGCGACTCGGAATCAGCTCGTTAATCCGTGAGGCCATGCAGGCTTGGGGAACTGGTGAGCTCAGCCGACTTGTTCATCGCCACGGTGGTCGACCTATCGGAAGTTTCGAGGTCGATGAGATCTCACAGGAGACGAAGAATACACCAGCCGGGCAGACCAACGGCCATGCTAAGCGCGAAGTCATTCGACGGATCAAGCAAACTCCAGTCCATGCGCTGTTCATGGACTGTACTCATGATAACGAGGTACCAGCTCAGAAGCGAGATGCTCGCGATACCTTGCCGAATGCTGCATTGGTGAACATGTGCGCTAGTGCTACTGGTAGTGTGATGGGATACGACGAAGTATACCCCAAGCTTATTGATCTCGTGTCCGAGACCAGGCTGTACACATCTGAATCTTCCGAGGATAAACCGATTGTGGTTGGCGGTGGCGAGGGTGGTATCGGGGGAATCAAGAAGCTTCTGAACCAAATCCACACCCTCATGGGCAAGGATGGCTATGAGGAGACTCACATCCATCACGAGGATCAATATATCACTGTTCATCGTGTCCAACCCGAGTCAAGAAAAGGATACTTCCTGATTGCTCATACCGCGTTCCCAGGCTATGGGAATGGAAACGGAAATTTTAGCCCAGTTCATCTCAGCGGTACCAAGGCTCGACACCTTGGAAGCTGGATGCTCGAGGTCGATACGAGTGATGAAGCAAAGAAGGCAGTAGCGGATGACAAGAAGTTCTTGAGAGGTCTCCCAAGCAAGGTCATCGACGTGCCTGGTATCCGGATGGAGGTCAAACCCGATGAGACTGTCATTTCGGTCCGTGATAAATTTCCTCCTGGCAGCATTGCACTCTTTGAGACTTGGATTCCAGAAGCGGAGCATTCTACTGGCCTTGATTCCTACGTTACATCTGGTGCCAAGGCTGCCTTCGCAGATGCGGACCTAATCGATCTCAACTTTGTGCTATACCGTTGCGAAGCAGAGGAGCTGGATTCGAGTGAGGGTAAAGATGGTGTGTATGAGATTCCTGGACACGGGAAGCTGGTGTATGCTGGTCTTCAGGGGTTTTGGAGCGTCTTGAAGAATATCATCCAGGATAATGATCTTGCACATCCGCTTTGTCAACATCTACGCAACGGAAAGTGGCCACTTGACTACATTTACGGACGTTTGGAGAGAATATCCAAGAAGTCTGGCTACGACCGCTTGTTAAAGCCTGCAGCATGGATTAAGGAGCGATTCGACGCTATTCGGAAGCTGCCCAGCTTCCTGCTTCCCAGGTACTTTGGTCTTGTCATCCGCACTGCATACACAGCAGCTTGGAATCGTGGTCTGGAGCTCATGAATGACAACGTGAGAAAAGGACAATGGTTCTTGCAAGATCTTGCCATGGTCAGCATCCAGCAAACCGGATACGTCAAGTCGGCATCTCTCTACCCCAAGAAGGAAGTTCCGTCTCTCGCAGCTGGTCTTCCTCATTTTGCAGTCTCCTGGGCACGCTGCTGGGGCCGTGACGTTTTCATCTCAGCTCGTGGTCTCTTCCTCGGCACTGGTCGTTATGCAGATTGCAAGGAGCACATCATCGCCTTTGCCAGTGTGATGAAGCATGGTATGGTTCCTAACCTTCTGTCGAGCGGTGCCAATCCTCGATACAATGCGCGAGATGCCATTTGGTTCATGTTGCAAACTATCCAAGACTATACGAAAATCGTCCCGGGTGGTCTTGACATTCTGAAGGAGAAGATTCCTCGCCGCTTCCTCCCCTACGATGATACCTACTTCGAAGCTGACGACCCTCGCGCGTATTCCAAATCCTCGACGCTGGAAGACATCATCCAGGAGGCACTGCAAAGACACGCCACTGGTATGTCATTCAAAGAAGCTAATGCTGGTCCCGGTCTCGATATGCAGATGAGCTCTGCAGGGTTCCAGCAAGATATCAAAGTCGATTGGGACAACGGTCTTATCTTCGGCGGAAATCAGCACAATTGTGGAACCTGGATGGATAAGATGGGCGAGTCCGATCGAGCAAATAGCAAAGGTGTTCCTGGCACCCCTCGCGACGGCTCTGCAATCGAAATCGCCGGTCTTCTCTACAGCACACTGGCCTGGGTCGCCAAGCTGCACGCAGAAGGAAAGTACAAATACGCCGGCGTCAGTACCACTCTTCCCGGACTCAAAGTCATCACTTTCAGCGACTGGGCCCGCCGCATAAAGACGAACTTTGAGAAATGCTATTACGTCCCTCTCGACTCTGCGGACGACAAGAAGTATGATGTGAACGCTGGTGTTGTCAACCGGAGGGGGATCTATAAGGACTTGTATAAGTCTGGCAAGGAGTACGAGGACTACCAGCTGAGAGCAAACTTCCCTATCGCCATGACCGTCGCCCCAGATTTGTTTGACCCGACGCATGCACTGCATGCGTTGACGGTTGCCGACAAAGTCCTGCGTGGTCCGACCGGTATGGCGACGCTCGACCCGGCGGATCTTAACTACCGCCCTTACTACAACAACTCCGAAGACTCGACGGATTTCGCGACTTCCAAGGGTAGAAATTACCACCAAGGTCCGGAGTGGGTGTGGCCGACTGGTTTCTTCCTGAGGGCACTGCTGAAGTTCGACCTCATGAGGAAGACTAGTAGCCAGGAGCGCACGGAGAGTTTCCAGCAGATTACCCGACGGCTGGAGGGGTGCAAAGCGGCGATCAGAGCTAGTCCATGGGCGGGCCTGACGGAGTTGACGCAAAAGGGGGGAGAGTTCTGCGGGGATTCGGTAAGTCGACGCTTCATTGATGGGAGGGTAGGGAGGGACGATGGCTAATGATGTGTGTGATAGTCTCCGACACAAGCTTGGAGTGCGGGGTGCTTGATCGACTTATACCATGATGCGGCGCAGTACGACGTCTCGCAGCTCTCGAGGAAGTAAATGGGCGAGACTTAGCTGTGAGCGGGGGTGGAGGGAGGAGAACTGGGCGCTCGTGCGCGTGGAGGTGCGGCTTTACAGGACTAAGAGAAGGGCTTGAAGATAGGGTTATACTTCACGACGACCACGGTAGATAGGTAGATTGAACGAATGAAAAGGCATGATCCACGACCACTTTTTGAAATCCTGGCTCTGCCTAGCCACAGCCCAGCTAATTCTCGAAGTCCTGTGTCCCCAAGCCCCGAGATTGATGAGGACATGGATCAATCGATCTATGAGAGCGGGTGTAGAATACGGAAAGGACAGTTTGGGATCCTACTGCCCTACTCTGCCCTACTGCCCTACCTACTCTTGTGCCTTCTTATTCAGGGCAAGCAGGAAACAAGCAACAAGAAAGTAAGACGAAGTAATCAGACCCAGTCAATCAATCAGTCGGTCATTTTTAAAGGACCTGAACGATCTATCTATCTATTTATATATATATATCCATATACACACACATATACACACAAGCGATAACGATCTCATCCATCCAGAATCCTCTACGATTCACCCGATATTCGATTTCCGACCCCCTCATCTGAAATCCCCACCCCAATCCTAGCCTCCCCTCACGATTCCGAATACACAAACAAAAAAAAAAAAAAATCCGAGAAACTTGTAAGATGTAAATAAATCGGTTGACAGTTATCAAAATGAATAACCAACCGGCTTAGCGAGCGAGCGATTCGGCGAGGATGGATTAGTTGGTCGTGAAGTTGGACTACCTAGGTTAGGATAGGATAACCGGGCGTAGCGCGCGTTGTTCTGTCGTCGGATTTCTTTCACTCTTGCTTGTACTTTTATGTGAAAAACTGGGGGAAGGAAGATGGATGGGTGGGTGGATGGATGGATGGATGGATGGCTACGGCTACGGCTGGAGCTGGAGCTACACACAGACACAGTACTAGGCAACTGCTGTTGGCCACTTAAGCGAGAACAGCAAGATCAGACATTAGACGTTCAGCTATAATCGTCGGCTCGCTTAGGTGGGCCTTCTTACATCCTTTCAGTCTTAACTGGGGATTTGAAGCCCAGGGTGGACGTGGACGGAGAGGGGATTGATCGTGGTCGATCGTGGTTGATCATGAAGGAGAGGGCGAGGGAGAAGCTCGGCTGTAGTAGGGTAAGAAGAACATGCATGGTATTATGTAAGTTGAGCTGGACGGAGAAGAATCTCGTTGTTGGTTGCAGGTTCATATTGGCACGGAGCGTGCATTCATTCATGCGCCACGATGATCTCTAGAGTAAACACGTGTGGTGGTGACCAGGGAAGTCATGCTTGGGTGTGAAGATAGATTGAAGAGAAGATGTACAACTGAAATAAATCTAGTCTTGGATGGTAAAAAAAAAAAAAAGGTTCTAGTTCGACCTAGCCGGTTCAAGATTCGACACGAGGGGTAGATCGTTGTCCAGTCCCGACTTTCATCCTCCTCGAAACCTCTGATCAGTCAAGAGATCTTGACGCGGGACTGGGGTCAACCATACACCGAGTCCAGCAACGAACGCTTTACACGCTTCACCCGCTTCACAGGCCAAGATCGGCGATCACGCCTGGGACGATGGTTTCGACGTTATATTTCCAGATGAGACCACTGTTGTGAGCGGCGAACGCGGCGCCGGTCCAGTAAGTGTTTCTCTGGCCCTGGAGGGCGAGGAGCTTCTTGTAGAATCCCTGGCTGATATCATCCATGGAGACACGCACGTTGTACGGGGCGTGATCGGCAGAATAGGGGAATGTGGCTGCCGCTGATGATCCAGCAGGGACACCGCCGACGGTCTCGAGCGTGGCGAGAGCGGAGCGGACGACGTTCTCGCCATCGGCCAAGGTGTAGTTGGTATCTTCGAATCCTACCGAGGTGGAGAAGTAGCCCGGGGAGGCGGAGAGTTCGATGCCGTTGGCACCGGGGATGACGGGCGTGTTGTAGGGGGTCATGGCGCCGATGTTCCGGACGCTGTTTGTCAGACCGGGGACTTGGACGACGCCAGCCCAGTGGCCCATGCCTGCGAACTTGGAGAAGATGTCGGTCTCTTCGCTGGTCAGGTCGTAGGTGCCAATGTTCGACATGGTCGGGGGGATGGCGACCACCAGCTTCTTGGCCCGGATGAGCTTGGCGGGTTGACCGGGCTGGTTGATGAGGACGGTCACGCTGGTACCGTTCGTGCTGGCACCCTCCACAGTTCGCTTGACTTCCATGATGGTTGACTGGTAGTAGATGCTCTCTCCCAACATATTGGCGGCAGCTCGGTACAGGTCTTCAGCGTCGGTCGAGGTTGGGATGATGAATTTGGCAAAGAAGCTTTGGACCAAGCCCGGTCCGAAGCACTTGATACCGTAGAGGGCGGGAATGGTCGCGACGTCTCCTATGAACCAGTTGAACTGGGCGATGATAGGGAGGAGAGGCTCGAAGGAGAACTTCTTTGCAAGTTCTCCGAACGGCAGGAGCAGGTCTGCTGGCACGGGGTCGGGAACAAGATAGCCGTTGTCAATCCAAGGGTAGACGGCAAGAATGTTCGTTGTGTAGCTTTGCACAGCGGCAGCGATAGCAGCCTGTTGTGCTTGAGCGTCATTTGCGCTCTGAGCGGGGATGGGAATGCCTAACGAGAAGTCAAACTTTCAAGCGCATTAGCACTACTTCTTGGCAATTCTAGGGATCTGAGATTTGGGAGGCGTCCCATCTAGAACCCTCTCTAGAGTATTATACATGAGGATATGTACATACGTTTTGGGCTGCAGGCGTTGATGCCGGCACGTCCGTGACTGGGTTAGTAAACGTCAGGTTGACATTGAGTTGCTCGAAGTAGCTGATCACAGCGGTATTGTTCTCGAAGATGATGACTCCAGTGTTGATAGGAACATCAACCGGTGCGTAGAAGGTCTTGCAGTCTATGCAAGGCACGAATTGTCAGCATGGGGGCTAGAATCAGCGACGGAGAGAAGAGACGTACGGCCACCGATCCGGTTCTCCTTCTCGATCACGGCGACATTGGCACCAGCAGCCTGCAGTTGGATGGCAGCGTGAATACCACCGCTACCTCCACCGATGATAGCGACATCGACGTCTACTTCGACAGGCGCAGCGGTTGATGTGGATCCTGTGTCAGTCTCACACTTTGGATAGGTTAGCACGTTCACGTCGAACAGAGCAGTGAAGAACTGCCACCGGGGGACTTACAGCCTCACCAATATCCTCGACTGGTTGCGCGGTAGCAGCGTAGGCCCACAAGGCCAGAGCTGGCGACACTAGCTGAGTGAACTTCATTGTCGGGCGCTCAAGAATGAAGAGTTGCGCCTAGGTTTAAAATTATTAGAGTGAGTGATCGACTTCCCTCGGAGTTGGGTCTCAAGGGTAGGAGGCTCCGGTTCGCAGAGGGGCTACGTTGCGGTACTTAAAGAGCTTTCAAGCACTGCCTCTTTTGCCCATGACAAGTTCATTTTTCATGAAATTGGTGCCCTTGGAAGCGGCAATGCACCAAAGCTGTCAGGGCTCCCGGAGGATGCGCATCTCGAGATGATGGCATAAACCTTGAGCTTATTTACGCTTTGGGCGCAGAGTAGTAGGTACGAGAATTGAGGACTGGGATATGTTCAGCCCGCCTTCTCTGATCAGTACGTAAGATTTTCTGGCTGATGAATTGCAGAATTGCAGGTTTCCGTCTGGCATGCAGACCACGCCTTAGATCTACAGTTCCCTTTACTCCTTACAGATAAATAAAAAATGGAGACTGTTGCTGGGCTTATCCCTCTTACTGGAACATAGAAAAATTGAGTTTATATGGTACTTTGTGCATAACGTAAGAGTATTGAGCCAATCCAAACGTCACTATTAAGCTCTAGGAGTTTCGAATTACAGCCTTAGTAGTAGTACCTAGTACAGTATCGTACCAGGATCTACTCCGCACAAACAGAGTACAGCCATTAACATCCTAATCTTGGTAGGTAAAACAGATCTACAAATTCCGTAGGGCTGACAAGAGCACTCAGTCAACAGCAAAAGCTTCTTCAAAGATCGATCGATCCCAGAGGTAGTACAACTAGGTATACTACATCCAAAAAGTAGGATGGGGGGGAGGAAGATAGTAGGTCCGTACGTTCCGAACGTTCCGCACTCCGTACAATCAACAGCCTCTTTACTTACAACCTTAAGCGAGAAGAAGAAGCATCATCCATCCACTCTTCAACATGCCCAGCAAGCAACCCCAGTCTAAACAAAAACCACCTCCAAAGGCAAAACTGCCCTACGTCCGAACCTCTTCCAGAAGGAAAGCCAACGACTACAACTATCTACTATTAATACTCCGGAATACAACACGTCTCCGGATTCCGTAGAGAAAAAAGAGGGCTCCTCCGATCAGGCTAAGAAGAGGAAACGAAAAAGCTAATCAGCTAATCAAATCGAGCAGGATCCGGATAGGATCTGCTACGTAGACGACAGCCATACGGAAAGCGAAAGCATCCTCCGAATAAAAAAAAAGAAAGAAAAAAAGGAAAGAAAAAAAAGGAAAGAAAAAAAAAAGTGAAAGAAAAAAAAATTGGCGACGGCGTTCAATTGAGGTATATAGTACCGGTAGTATCGTGGTCCTGTAACTCCATCCCAGTTTGCAAACGTTATACTTAGAGTAAACAAGTACCGCGTGATGGGGAAAGAAAAAAAAAGGGGAGGGCGGGGAGGAGGCGGGCTTTAAAATTTGCCACTTACTTATTCTTATTAGCTGTAAGTAAGTACCACGATACAGGCGTATAATTGTCACACCCTTGAGGGTGCCTCAAAAGTCTAAATTTCCACCCTAAACCCCTGGTTACCCTAGCCTCAAGGGTGTAACAGTTACGTCTGTACCGTGGGATACCGGTACAACTACTACCTACTACTGTAACGGTCGACAGCCGGGCCGGCCAGCCCTCGCGTCGGACAAAATCCAAAAGTCAAAATTCAAATTTCTAGAAAAAAAAAAAAAAAAAAAACCCCCCGCAGCCTGTGAGGAGAGGGGAGGGATTACCGGTATTCTGTATGATAAGTAAGCACGCCAGAGCCTAGGTAACCAACTACCCAAGGATCCCATGGGAGAAATACTTACTATGTAGTACCGGTATGTATGTTAGTCTGTGCACGCACGATACGACATGCAAATTTAGTAGTACCAACAGTTGGACGGACAAAACAGTAATCCAGCCCGCAATCCAGCGCCCCAGAGATCGCGTTCTCGAAAGCAAAAAAAGGGTTTTTGCGAAGACGACGCCACATCGAGCTGCGCCGTCGTCGTCGCCTAGGCTGGATAGCAAGTTGTGCACAGGAGGCTGACGAAGAGGTAGGTAGTACTACTATATTCTCTCTTGGACGTGCCACCCACCGCCGGGACACGAGCTTCATGGAATCAGCAACATCCGAATTCATCCGACAACTACGTACGGATGCTTTATTAGCTACACTATACACCACTTCTAGGTCATCACCTAAGATACCTCAAGGTGCCTAAGCATCCTTCTTCAAGAAATCCTCGTGATCAGGGAGTCATGATCGAAATTTCCCCCGTCATTCTGCTACCTGCGACAGCCCAGCCTCAAACTGTACGGCCTTCTCAAGCACCCTCATCCCGCCCTCGTCATCCCAGGCAATTCTCCCCTCCATCGCAGCCCTCATCAGTTCCTCCCCCGCAACTTCCTTCTCCCCCGTAAAAGGATCCCATTCGAAGCCCTCCTTCAACCACATCCATCGCAGATACGCCCTCAATTCCTTGTCTTCAGGTAGAACGCGCATCCACTCGGGCTGGAATCCCTCTTCCTGGGCACCCTCGCCATTCCAGCCTTCCGCAACACCTCGCAACTTATCTCGGCAGAAGATTCGCCATGAATCTAAGGCGTAAGGTCCAAACGTCATGTGTCCAATCTCCCATGCTGAGCGAATGTCGTCGTCGGGGATTATCTCGCCTTTAGTGACGTCCTTGCCGCAGCTAGGCGTAGGATAGCCGCGGACTGGGTAGCGTTTATGCTTCTGGGGAGGGTCGTTGAGCCAAATTTGGGCGTACGTTTGGTAGGTTGAGGCCCGCTGATTTTGCAGACCCAGATGCCGGATGATGGATACAATATCGGCTTTGTCGGCTGTGGCGAGGGATTCAGGTGTCGGGTACTTCTCGATGAGTTCAAAAAAGGCGGGGATCGCATGTTTCCCGTGGGTCCGAATCAAGAACGTTACGGCGATAAGCAGACGAAATGGGTCGTCAGCAAGCTTCTCTTGAATCAAGCCGAAATGAGGGGCAGAGAGAGGTGGAAATGGTATGCATGAGACCGGGGGACGTTTTCTTCCGGACCCTTGGGATGAGGGCTTGTAGTCTTCGTTTTCTTCCAGGGCGTCTGGTTGAGAAGTAGAGGCTTGTGGAGTAACAACTCCACCGTCTACTTCCTGCGTGGCCTTCTTGTTTCGCAACTGCGAAGGTGTAATGGGAGGTGGAACAAAGTAGGGTGATTTGGCAGGGGCTTTGACTTTCGGTTTTGCAGGAATGACCACAGAAATAGAAGAAGTAAGAGGCTCTGTAGCCACCCCTATAGAACTGTCCTTCGCTGTCTTTTCTAGACAAGGCTTCTCCTTCACGAATCTCCCGTTCGCGTCTCGCTGTCTAGCTGGAGTGGTCTTGCCTGGTGCAGTACCAGTTGAATATGAGTCCCGGACTTCGTAATTAACAGGCTCAGGATGAATCTGATGGGTCTCCTTGAGCCTCCGCTTCATGTTTATTGTTGGTGATGAATCCTTGGATATGAATCTGCCATGAGCACCACGCTCCTGCTTGGTGCAGGATGGCTTGCTCACCGAGAGCATACTAGGCTCTCGCTTCATTGGCGTGAAAGCTCTCGAAAATGTAGCTTGAACTTTGGCTCTATTATTGGCGGAGATGCTAGAGCTCCTTCTGGTGATCTTAGGCTTGACAACGATCTTATCGAACTCGTCTCCGCTGTGGTCCCAATCCAAAGGGCCGTAGTTTGTTTGACTCCAAACTGAGACATTCTCTTCATCTTCATACTGAGGACCTGCGGTGGCGGAATAACGGTATTCGTGGTCATCAGTTGGCTCAGCGGGGACAGATTGACCTCTGACGGATGGCTGCTCACAGCTCTCAGAAAGTAGTGCGACACCATCATCCTCAGCCAAAGGTGCAACAGATGCGGATCTGGTCTTCTCCCAAATTTCAAACACAATATTATTCTCCGGCAGATCCATGCCGATACTACTCTGATGGCCCAGGAGCGATTCACCACCCGCAGAAGCCTGGCCTTCTACGAGTGGATAGAGTTTAACGCCTCCGAACCTTGATTATCCGGCATGGTAATGGAGCGCTTGCGTGACTCATCTCGCTTGCTCTTCTTCTCCTTCTTAAAGGTCTCGTCTGGAAGCTCAGTCACAGGAGCTAAAGGCAAGTCAGGCTTTTCAGCACTGTCCGTCTTGACGTCCGCCTTGCCGAGAGACTTTCTGCCTCGGTCCCGGGCTCTCTTCTTGGCAGGCTTCTCCGACAGAATGGGCACAGTGTCCGGTTCAGCTTCAGCAGCGGTGGCGATTGGCGCTGGGGGTTTTTCAGCCTCCAACCTCGAACCTCTCCTCCTATTACGAGATTTCTTCGGCGGTTGCTCTTCGGGTTCGGCCGGTAGCTCAGCATGAGTTGGCTCGACCACAGACTTGGTGACATCAACAGTTGCCTCTGGAACACTTGATTCTTCCTCGATTGCTTTGGTAGCTGTCGCGACCTTCGAGAGCCTACTCCTGACACGCTTTTTCTTGGTGCGTGGAGGAGAAGCATTGCCGGGGGTAAGCTGTTTCGACTTGCCGGCGGGTGCCAAAGCTCTTGCTACTTTGGACAACTGGGCTTCAACTTCGGTGGCCGGAAGGCTGTTCTTATTTCTCTTCCTCTTGCGCCTCTTCTTACCGCCTGCTGCGACAGAATTTGGTACAACAGCTTCCTTAATCTTATCGATGTCATTCTCCAAGACCTCCTTGTCTTTCCCATCATTTTTGGCGCCCAGACTTGATCCTGTTTTCGTCTCCATTTGCGTTGTTGAATTGGGTAATGAGTAAACCTTGGGAGGGAAGTGAGAAGAAGTGATCGGGCCTTGCTTTGCCCTTAGCTTCTTTTGCCTCCGCTTCTCCATCTTGGCCACTTTTGCAGACGTCACGTCCTTCACAGCCCTGGAGCTCATAGCCTTCGCTTTCGATTCTGAAGTAGCCACCTCCCCTGAGACCTTGAAAACTTTCGTCTTCGGAGTCGGGGTACCATCTTGCCCATTGTTAGGCTCCGAGACAGCCAGTCCAGAACTCCGCTTCTTCCTGTTCCGCCTCTTCTGTCTCTTTGTGCTCGGCTGTGCAACTCCCGCATCCACAAGCTCACCAACCCGCTCAGCAACTTTCCCGCCTCTCTTCCGCTTGTTCCCACTACCCCTCTCGACTCCAGCTTCGTCGCCTCTCTCGATGCTGTTTACTAGGAGCCCAAACCCAAGCCCAAGCCCAACGCTCCCGCTATCCTCTCGCTCACCAATCCGCACCCCCTTGGCAGCCTTCCACTTCCCCATAGCACGCATGACCTCCACCTTCGCCAGATTAACCGTAAGTCCCGCTGCCTTCGCAAACTCGAAAACATCCTTCTCGAACTCAACTGCCTCTTCCTCCACAAGGATGGACTGTGTCCAGAAAGGGTGCTCCTCTGCGAAGTCTTGAACACTGGTCTTGATTTGCAGGAGATCGTGCTGAGTCCTAGGAGAGTTCTGCGGAAGGAGCGCTGCCAGGAACGGCGTCTTGAAGTCGATAAACCCGGGCTCCGCGTCTGCACCCATCGTGGCATCTTGGTCGTCCTCGTCTTCTCCTTCAGAGCTCACCGGTTGTGGTTGACTAGAAGGCGGCGCATCATGGTCGTCCTGTTCGAGTAGTCCAATGGTCAGCCCTCTCGAGTCCCCGCACACGGAGAAAATAGATAAAACAAACCACACGTTGTTGACTGTAAATCTGACTTTCGCTGCCTTGCGTCGAGCTGGGAATCTCGGTTCTCACCATGTTCAACCTCCGCCCGTCGGCAGATGAAACCACCCCTCCAATCTTCACACCTCCCTCGCCGTTGTAGCCACCGTCCTCACTCGAAGATGGCCCGTCACTATTCCTAGTGTCATTGCCAGAATTGCGACCGGCCCATACTGGCTCCAAGCTCGCCATGTCGACCAGATTTTGCTCCCGCTCTGAGATCGTTTTTCTCGGGGTCATGAGCTTCTCGCGCAGCGCATGAGGATAGGTCGGAGTCACTACTTGACATGAAATGGCCGCCTGCTCATGGGTATTCTGAGTTGGAGAAATCGAGTAGTGTGCGAGTAAGTGGTCGCGTGTAGAAATTGGTGGGAGATCTTCTAAACGTCTGCGAACCTGAAGGTGCATTCGCGATGTTTTTCTTTTACATAGCCGAAAAGCATATTTCCAAACCTTCCTTCTAAGGCAGCAAGTCTGGAAGCATGTCACTCTCGCTGGAGCCGCCCTGAATCAGAACCTGGGAGGATGTTCATTTCTACATTGCAAGACCGTCTCGCTACCAGGCAATTCTAGGATTGGATCATGCATTGACTTTCTGGTGATGCACATCTATGTCCGTACAGCTTGGCGTCATAAGGCCAAAATAGCAGCCATTGCTCGAATGATCTTCCCGATAAAAAAATGAGGCCAGTCAGTTTGCTTTGGTTCGATATTGGCACAGTCTCATGTCTAAAATCTCTAATGCACTGTCCCAAACTGAAGCATGCCAACCCCGCTCTCCGCCACTTTATACAGGTATGAGCACTAATAGAACATTGCTTTGCTTCCATCTGCTCCGTGTAATACAAAAGAAAAGAAGCCGGAATGAATTTAGTGACCGTTACGTCCTCCCATCTTCGGTGGGTTGTAGGCAATCTTTCTCGTCTTAACTGCCACCCACTTGTATCTCTTGACCCAGACGCTCAATGCAAACAATGTCGCAGAGATAGCTAAGACCTTGAGACCCATCTTCTTTCTTTGATCCATCTCTGGCTCTGCAGCCCAGTTCAGGAACTCCACGACGTCCTTTGCCATTTGTGATGTTGAAGCTGGGGTCCCGTCCTCGTACTCAACGAGATCATTGTATAGAACTCGGCCCATGGCGATACCGGTACCGGGGAAGTATGGGTTGAAGTTCAATCCTGCTGGGACCTTGGTTCCGGCTGGGTTCTCCTCAGGGTATCCGGTCAACAAGCTGAAGATGTAATCGCATCCACCGTGGCGAGCCTTAACCATCAAACTCAAGTCGGGGGGGAGGGCACCGTTGTTTGCAGCACGAGCAGCTTCGTCATTCTTGTATGGGGATGGAAGGTAGTCGGAAAGCTTTCCAGGTCGCTTCTCAATTTCACCCTCATCATTAGGCTCGCTGTCGTACTCGTTCTCCTCGGCCATTGCCTTTGCCTCGTTGACTGTGTGTGTGACTCCGACTAGGGACCGGTATGGGACTCTGCTGAGAGAGTGGCACGAAGAGCAGACTTCTTGGTAGACTTGGAATCCACGGCGCAGACTGGGAAAGGTCAGTTGGAGCTCTCATCCAATGGATAGAGTTGCTTACGCTTGATGGTCAAATGTCTTGGTCCATTTGGCATGGACCCAAGGGTATTTTGTAGCATGAAGACTGTTTGGCCGTCAGTGATCCGTTGTCGGTCCGGTACGGGAGAGGCTGTTGATGGTATCCCAGAGCAATTGGCCCGGCATCCGCTCTGTCCAAGTAATACCAGAAATAGCTTACCCTTCTTCAACAGGTGTCATAGCATGCAATTCGGTGCCGTAGAGGTGATAGTACCAGGCAATCGAGCCAGCAGCTACGGCGGTGGCAGCAGATCCGGCAAGGTTCAATCCGAAGGGAGATTCAGCTGTCGAGCTTGAGGAAGCGGCACGCTGTAAGACGCATCGTTAGTTTGGAGTTTCGTTCCCATTGTGCGTCTGCTCCTCCTGGCTTCTTGACCTCTCTTCCTTTTCCGGCCTTCGTTTGCCCGTCGGAGTGTGGTGTCGTACCTTCGATGTGTGAATCGCGCCATTCCGAACAGCCCCGACTGCGCGCATCGAGCGCATAGTTGATCTGGACAACATCTTCAGCGCGATATGCCTCAGCTAGAGATCACCTCGCAAGGGATGTTGTTGTTCGACTAGGTGGTGAGTATGGAGGATGAAATTAACAGTGGCAAGAGTCGAGTCGTGAAATTCCGGGCTTCTTTCTTGCCCTAGCGCGAGGTTACAACAAGCTCGCCTTGATTGGCTGAAGATTAAATCGACGGATCATGGGTCACGTTTCTCGAACTCGATGGGCAACTACGAATGCAGATTTTTTTTCGGAATCTGCAATTCTCTTTTGCTGCATAAAAGAATAGACAGCTAGATCCAATAGCAGTTGGAGTTTTGAGGTTTGAGATAATTCATGGTCACGTGACCCAGACACAGGTAAACCCAAAGTAACCCATCGTCCCGTAGGAATCACTCCATAAATCACAGCCCTCCTCCGAGGGATGCCTCATCAAACAAAGGGATGCGCGTGTTCCCCTACTTTGCATATCACCTCTTTGCTTCGCATATATACCCTCTGATCATATATAGCTCCGGTCATCGCATGTACCAACGGGTATTCTTCACATTAATCGTCGAGACTGAAAGGATGAAATGGAGGCCCACCTAAGCGAGCCGACGATTATACAAAACAGGAACCTCCTCAAGCACCGCCGATGTAATTTCTACCCTCACGGTTTTCCCCGTCTCGGTAGTGTCACACATAAATATATTCCTCACTTCTCGCTATAAGTATACCATCTTCTCAACTCCCACCCCCCGGTGATTCGAACTGGATAAATAGCCTACACACGCACTTTTCCCACGCCAGGTTCCTGGAGATTGCGACTATAGCTACACCCATCAGTCTCACCAACGTCACCTGAATGCCCACTTCAAAAGTTGGGGCTGTAAACTTCTCAAGGTGCGCGAAGCAGAAGCATTAAGGGCAGCGAGCTGATACGGCGCCTGAGTTGATTTTTGAGTGCTATCTTGGCATTTGGTCTTCTTTCGAACGATTTCAGTCCCAGTTGTTAGAAAGCGCTGGTTGAAGTTAGCCTTGGGATATATCTCGAAGTGGATTGATTGTATGCTGAAGTGAATCATAACTTATTCCGCATATCATCTCAGGCTCCCTACTCTGGCGAAAAGAGCGCTGGGTGTGAAGTAAAGATGGGGGGGAGGGGGAGGGGGCATTACACTCCTTGCAGGGTTGGAGAAGTCGTCAAGGAGAAGGTGAAAAAAAACGTTTCTGGATCAGAGTCAGTGGGCTCGGTAGCAGGTATAAGCACACGAGTGCACCTTTCGATGCAGTCTCGTTGGAAAGTTCGATACAGTAGGTAGGCCGGTGGTAGAGAGAGACCTCCCTATCTCAGAGTGGAAAGGGGTGTTCGCTACGTAATGGAGGCGGACCTCCTGCGGATTTCGTCGTACGAGTCAATAGATATCAAGAGTGCTCCATAATCTCCTATCAACAGACGTGATGCCATTAAGTGTATGCTGTCCTCAATCACAGTTCCGATCATGTGTACATTCCTTCCCGCCCTGCCTCTATTAAATCACCCTCGGTGCCAGCCCATAAAAATCTTTTTTTATTTCGCATATATCCCAACCACTACGGGTATTTGGAGATGTTGAACCTGAACTCCAAGATGGCAATTTGTGGTGAAATTTGGTACTATTTGTGAAAAAGATTATGCGTGACCATTAGGACCCTTGGAGAGAGCTCGTCTCTTTGCAACGGCTTCAGCGAGAGTCTTGAGAACATCTTCAGTGTCGTCCCAGCCAATGCAGGCGTCCGTGATGCTGACTCCGTATTTGAGGCCGGATTTTCCCTCCGCAGGAACCTTTTGAGCGCCCTCATTGATGTTGCTTTCAATCATGACTCCCATAATAGCATCCTCGCCATTCGCAATCTGCTCGGCCAACACTGCGGCAACCTTTGGCTGATTCTTGTGGTTCTTTAACGAGTTACCATGGCTGCAATCCACCATCAATCTCTCCCTAACACCAGCCTTCTGCAGAGCAGCCTTCGCCTCTTTAATACTTGCAGCGTCATAGTTCGTGCCCTTGGTACCACCTCGCAAAATTACAAAACAGTCCTCGTTACCCACAGTGCCTACGATAGCAACCACGCCAGGCTTCGTAACGGACAAGAAGTGATGTGGATGTCTTACGGCACCGATGGCATCAATAGCCACGCTCAGTGTTCCATCCGTGCCGTTCTTGAAGCCCACCGGGAAACTTAATCCACTCGCCAACTCCCGATGCAATTGTGACTCCGTAGTTCTCGCACCAACAGCACCAACACTCAGAAGATCAGCCAAGAACTGCGGCGAAATCGTGTCCAGCATCTCGCTCGCCAGCGGCATCCCCTTCTCCGTCAAATCCACAAACAGCTGTCTGCTAGTTCTCAGGCCCTTGTTGATCTTGAAGCTGTTGTCGATATCAGGGTCGTTAATCAGGCCTTTCCAGCCGACGGTCGTACGAGGCTTCTCGAGGTAGGATCGCATAACGATCAGGAGATCATCTTTGTACTTCTCTTTGAGGGCTACAAGTTTGTCGCAGTATTCGAGCGCGGCAGGAGGGTCGTGGATCGAGCAGGGGCCGATGATAACGAGGAGGCGTTGATTGGCATCTCTGCCTGTGACTACTGCGACGGACTCGTTGCGGCCTTGGACTGTAGTTTCTTTCGACTTGGGCGTTTGGGGGATTTCATGTTGAAGGAGATCGGGGGGAGTCAGAGGGTTGTAACCCCGAACTATGTGTTTTTCGATTAGTCTCGAATCCGCAGTATGTAAGGTATTCAATTTAGAGTTCCCTACTGCGCCAATCCTCGGTATCGTCTTTGTTGCCCACGTTGGGGTTTGTGATGTGGTAACTCTGTGAAGTCAGCGAGGGCAACTACATGCTGGAGACAGTTTGTTTCTCTTTCTCCTGAGCTTTACCTACTGCCATGTTTGTAATCTGGTTGAACGGCTGTATTGATACTCAATCGAGTGCTCAATAGCAAATTTGAAGTGGTAGAAACTTCAAACTATGTCCTTTGTTGTTGCAATGGCGGGGAAGAACAATGAAGCTTTTTTTGTGGATTTTCCGATGTGAAGCCGGTCCACTTTAACACGTGCAGCTGATAGCAAGGTCTTGAGAGCTTCCCTCCCTCTGCTTTTATCTCATCACTACTCATCTCGGGTCTACTTCTTCCATTTCACCCTTCTCTTTGGGAAATTTATTGAAACTCTTGATACTACGCGCCCAGTTCTACTCAGACCACCTCTTGGTTGAAGAGCAAGTCCGATTCTTCCATAATCTTTTTCCCTAATTATTCATATATGCTTCTCTTGCGAACTCATCACGAATAAAGCATATCCTTTCGCAGTTTCACTGTACCCTGCTCAGAAGTAATAGCAATATAACCCACCCCGTCCCTCTCCTCTCTTATGTCCCCAAGTTTAATTCTCACATCTTTCAGCAGTCTGCTCCTCTGTATCCCGGACATGGCTGTTCCACCACCCGGTATTCTCACATGAGGATTGTCTCTCGTCATGGTTGACATGAAGCCCAGTATCTCCGGAGCTACAGCCATCCTATTTAGCACAACTCCGCAAGCCACCGCCATTAGCAATATCGAGCAGGAGATAAAGTAGAGCGAGAGCCACATCTTGTTAACGTAGTATCGGCTGACCCAAGTGGTCACCACAGCGGAAGTTTGAATCGTGGATACATTCCCTTCTGTCAGATTCTCCGTTAGCTCGTATGGTGCCAGAGTGGCAAGGTAGAAAGTGTTCAGGATTTGGCCCAGGCGCCGCTCCATGTCGTCTTTCGAGACAAGAGACAGGTCGACCTTGGATAGCTTCGATGATGGCGAGGAGGTGATTCCAGATATGTAAAGCTCAGCCGCTGTCGACTGCGCCACCTGTCCCATGAGACTCTCGCCGGTTGCGAGTGGGAGAAGCCAGGAAAACATACGGAAGCCATGTTCAAAGCCAAAAACAGTGAAATTTCCTGGGGCATGGGGCGATTTACTCGGACGCATTGCTGTTACTCGACAATCCATGGTCCGGCAGAGCACCTTCACATCGACATACGTTTGCGACAGATCACAGTATGATGTTGCCATTATGGTCGAGTTCGTTATACCGCCAGAGCTCTCCCCCCAGATAACCGATTGGAAGAGCAACGTGTGGGGGATCGAGGAACTGTTAGTTGCGTTGATGAAAGCAGAGACGGAACGAGATGACTCGGATGATTTGCTTGGCGAAATGAAACCGTTGATAGCCACAGTAAAAGACGTTGGCTCGCCAAGCCTTCTCCAGGTGATGCCATCACTCTCCTTGTAAGCGGGGATGTAGAGACTCTTTGTGATGTTGAAGCAATTGAGCTCCAAATAAGTTGTTGTCATAGTCCAGGTGGTATTCGCACCTTGGGTATTGTTCTTGGACATGGGAATACCTATAAAGGATGAGTACACGATGTCTCTCGACTCGGAAACCTGTGTCCAGCCTGAGGCATCGGCTATGATGGGCTCGGGTAGCCGACTGTAGTATGGGATCTTGACGTTGCCCCATATATCCATACTGGAGTTCTTGAAAGCGTCTGGTGTCATCAGACTGGACGAATACACAGAAGTTATAGGGCCCGCGATAACTTCTACTATTTCTTCCGGAACTTCAGAGTAGAATTTCGACTGCTGCGCCGTGTCAAGATATTGCAGTGCTGCGTTAAATACCACTGGCCGATATCTGGGCTCGATCAGTCCTAGGGATACTCTGCTTCCAATTGGAGAGAAAATCCACAGCGTGAAAAGGCCAAGACTGGCCAAGTTGAAGGGTCGAAGCAACGAAAGCGTCGTCAACAGCCCGCCCAATGTCGTACTTCCAATGATCTGCTCAAGGACACCAAGACTGATCCCCTGCTCTAGTCTCCATGCCGCAAAAAGCTTCACAGCTCTTCCCACGACGAGCGCAAAGACGTACGGGAATGCCGTGCCGACCTATCTACTCTGTCAGCGCCCAGATCCGCTAGATTTGCAGGATGTCAACTACCGAGTTGATAATCTGTTTGAAGACCCTCCATTCCGACTCCACGACTATTTCATCCTCATAGTACACGACTGCGATGGCTAATGCGAGTAAGGATAACGAGAATAGGATGAGTAATGTCTCGATCGCAAGCTCGAAACAAATTTCCGACGTCGTCTTCCGCAGGCTCTGGGGACGAGTGGGCCATCCTGGGACGAGAGGATTCGAATATAGACCACTATCCGGTGCTGGCCTGGTATCAGACCGCGGCGAAGGTCGCGGAATAGATGTTTGTGAGATAAGCGAGATGTCGTCGTTTTGTGTCTGTGTCCACTGCAGAGAGGAATACGAGGACATCGCGACGTCCTTGGCCTTGTCGATTGCAAATGGAAGCTTGTAAGGCTGTCACGAAATAGCACTTTGGAACGGCCATGCGTGCGTGTACTTTAAGTTGAAAAGCTGAAGAATCAGTGGTGTGGCTATACACGGCTCCGCTACCCACGCCCGACGACATCTGGGGTAGATGAGTGGGGAGTAGATGCTGCAGCAGCTGCACCCCCGTCTCAGAGTAATCATTTTGGTAACACGTCGGAATTCCGTTGGATGATGGAGTGAAGGGCTGCAGCCTGGAAGAGGCTGGCGCTGACCTGCAGCTTCAAATAGCAAGCTATCTTTACTCTCGGGTAACACGTTTCTCCCCTCGCGCTTTGGCACGTGAATATCATGGAAGCTCACATATTTGCCTTGACTGCAGGAGAACTGCAGCTATGATATGAGCGACAATAGCCCTATGCAGGGGATGGGGACGTCCTCTGTATTTTCCTTCCTCGCTTCTGGAAGGTGATCTAAATGTATACGCTGATCCTTCTAGAGAGCACTGTGCAACGTGAGGTTATATAGCCTCCTCTACTGGTGTGGCCTCAGGCCACGCACGACAAGCTCACGTTTAAGAAGTGTTTGTTATTCATGACCGAAGTTATGGTGCTGGGAATCGCCTACAAATCAGGAGGCAGGGCATTGATCAAGTAGGTAGGAGGAGCGGGCTCAGAACACCAAAAAATGGCCAAGCCCAGGCAACGCCCAAGAGATAAGAAAGACAATTTCTGGCCTCTCGGCCCTCGGCTCTCGACTTCCGACTAGTAAATAAACAATCGACCAAGCAATTAAGCGAATCGAGCTGCCAAACATGTCCGTACATGCCGGACAGCAATCCGTGCGGCTACCTGGCTTCTAAGCTAGGTACGACGTACTACGTATGTACAACGTCACAGGCGTGATTGTTACACCCTGAGGGTAGGGTAACTAGGACGTTTAAAGTGGAGATTTAGATTTTTGAGGCATCTTCAGGCTGTAACACTTAGGCCTGTACCGTGGTATACCCACAGAGTATGCCCTCAGTCGATGCAACTCAAGCTGGGGCATCTGGCGTACGGGACCCTTCACTCATTTGGAACCTACCTGGGACCAGTTTGCCAGAGCTGGATTCTCTGCCCATGAATCGATCGTTTTGGTGTAAGTGCTTACTCACACAATATAAGTGTTGATCAGCTCGCCATCACGTTCAACCGCTCTCTATCACGTGATATATGTTCCTAATTTTGGAAGCTGCCAAGTGCTGCCCAGAAACTCAAGCTTTAGCTTTTTTCACGGTACGGGATACGGGGTACGGGGCGTAAAGCTTTTTTTTCTTTCCTCTGACGCGTGTTGTGGATATGTGACTGATACGGAGCGTTACGAAGTATACAGAGCTTTACTACTTTTCACTTTCCACCTCTCACCCAATCAATCAGCTATCGCCATTCCACCACGTGTGGCTGCAGGTCCTCCGTCTCGGGGATGATAGACGACGCCTCTCTGTCCGGCCAATCACATCACGGTCGCACTCGATGGAAGAGGGCGGCGAAGAGGCCCCCCCTTCCATTCCGAGATGCTACTCCACCAACATCTGCCACTTCCACTTCAACCCAAGTCGTGAATCACGTGTTACCTTCAACTTTCCTACTTTCAACTTACTTTACTCCTATCCTAACCTTTAGACTTCCTAACCCCCCAACCTGCCACCTCATCCTGATCCGCATCCTCATCCATATATAACAAGTGCATCCCCCACCTCCAAGAAGACAAAAAACCTCGCCCATACATCATATCCTGGCTTCACCCACCATACCATACCATACCATACCATACCATACCATCATTCATGGCCACCATCGCGACCCGAGCTGACGGCACCACGGCCGGGGGCAATGCCGCCTTTCACAACTTCCACAACGACTTTGCTCATATTCAGGATCCCAACGAGCGACGTCGACTGGCTCTGGCCGAGATTGATAAGGCGCCCTTTGGCTGGTAGTACGTACGACCAACGGTTCTGTTCTGTTCTGTTCTGTCTCTAGCCTGCCCTACTTGAATCCCTATTCCACGTCTCAATGCTGACTCTGCTGCATCTCCCCAGCCATGTGCGTGCCTGTACCGTGGCCGGTGTTGGTTTCTTCACCGATCAGTACGACATCTTCACGGCCTCGTTCCTCACCGTCATGTTGGGCATCGTGTATGAGCACACCAACAAGGGGAAGCTGCACACCTCGCAAGACACCGCCATCAAGGTCGCCACCTCAGCAGGAACCGTCATTGGACAGTTCGGCTTCGGCGCCCTCGCAGACATCCTCGGACGGAAAAAGATGTATGGATTCGAGCTGATCCTGATCATCATTGCTACCCTCGCTCAGGCTCTCCTCGGTGCCGGACCCGGCGTCTCTATCGTTGGTACCATGATCTTCTGGAGAGTGATCATGGGAATCGGTAAGCACAACATCCGAGATGAGAGATCCTAGATCTATCTGTACATACATAGCCTGGAGTCGCCACTCGCTAATACTCGGTAAAAGGAATTGGCGGCGACTATCCATTGTCCTCTATCATTACCTCAGAATTCGCTACCACGAAGTGGAGAGGAGCGATGATGGCTGCTGTCTTCTCTATGCAAGGCTTTGGCCAATTGGGTGGTGCGTTGGTCATGCTCGTCATCACCGTCGGCTTCAAAGGTTCTCTCGAGTCTGCTACCAGCTACGGTCAGTGCGATGGCGTTTGCGGTCTCGCAGTCGACAAGATGTGGCGGATCCTGATCGGTAAGAGCCCCCCGACTCTCCGAATATCTCGTGCTTGCTTTAATGACAGCACGTATCAGGAATGGGAGCGGTTCCAGCGTGCATCGCTCTCTATTTCCGTCTCACGATCCCCGAGACGCCCAGATACACCTTCGATGTTGCTCGCGATGTCGAGAAGGCCAAAGCGGATGTCCAGGCCTACGTGACCGGCAAGAAGGAGGGCGTTGTCGATGATGATGCCATTACCCAGGCCAAGCAAGACTCTGCGGCCTTGGAACAGCCCAAGGCCAGCGTCCGGGACTTTCTCAGTTTCTACGGCAAGTGGAAGAATGGAAAGATTCTTCTCGGCACGGCGGGCTCATGGTTCCTGCTGGTAAATCGCCTCCTCCGGTAACCTTCGTGGAAGAGTGCTGATCATAGCAAAGGATGTCGCTTTCTACGGCCTCGGTCTCAACAGTGCCACCGTACTCGCTTCCATCGGCTACGGAACTGGTCCCAACGTATACAAGATTCTCTACAACCTGGCAGCCGGTAACTGTATCCTCATTGCCGCAGGGGCCATTCCTGGTTACTGGACGACTGTCGCGACTGTGGATACGATCGGTCGCAAGCCGATCCAACTGGGTGGCTTCATCATCCTAACAATACTCTTCGTCGTCTGGGGTTTCAACTTTAAGAACCTTACGGGGCATGACATGCTCGGCTTGTACATCCTCGTTCAATTTTTCTTCAACTTTGGTATTAAATTTTTCATCCCTCCCTTTCACCTCCCCCCCCCCGGCTCCTCTTACCAAGACACAAAGCTAAACCACGGCGCAGGCCCCAACGCCACCACGTTCATCGTCCCAGGGGAATGCTTCCCAACGCGCTACCGCTCCACCTCGCATGGTTTCTCGGCCGGCATGGGCAAAATCGGTTCCATCATCGCGCAAGCGGCCATCGCGCCACTCCGCACCCGCGGCGCCACCGCCCAGAACGCGTCCCCGTGGCAGAACCACGTCATGCAGATCTACTCACTCTTCATGTTCCTCGGCATCTTCACCTCGCTGCTCATCCCCGAGACGAAGCGCAAGACCCTCGAGGAGCTGGCGGGCGAGTATGACTTTCAAGGCGAGCCGGCTGCTGGTGCTGGTGCTGGTGCTGGTGATGATGTCCTGGCCAAGGAGAAGATGGGCGGTAGTGATCAGGAAGGGAAGAGCGTTTGAGAGGCTCGATCGGTAGCCTAGGGTAGGATATTGGACTGCCTTCTTGGTTGGTTGGCCGATTGATTTAATAACTTGATACATTAAATATGCAACATATATATTTCTGACAAAAGACTTTCATGACTTCATGGTGATAGATTTACTCCATTCGGGTATACCCGTAAAAGAGCCCATTTCCGTTTGCCCATTTCCCTCTCTTCCGGCTCCCTCTCTCCCTGCTGCCTGCTGCCTTCCTTCCTGGCCCGCCCATCCATCCCGCCTCCCCGAAAGCGCCGTTTTCTGATTCGATTCCAATCTCCCGAAACTGGCCGAGT